CTAGTATATAGTTAACCTTATTTCTATAGCCTAGTCACTCTTTACCTAGCTATTAATATAATAGTTAACGCTTCTTTTAGAACCCTAGTTCCTTCTATAATTAGCACCTACGACTATAACTGCCTTATTGCTTAGTTAGACGCCCTAACGGCCTCGCTAACATAAAACCGACACTTCTCTGACTACCCTATAGCACAGAGTCGTACCAACCGTCACACCTACCTATTTCTTGCCGCTTTACCTCCTCTTACACTAACGTTTTTCCCAGCCGATCCCCAAGACATCTCACCATGTCACGTGTGTCTAAGCACGATCGAAGGAACGGGCCGCGATTAGTCAAGTATTAATATATAATCGAGCCACATTTCTATATGACTGATCATATAACAAATAGCCTGCATAATCACCTACTAATCCCTGCCATTATTTCATTGATTACCGGGGTCCAGTTTATAGGGAACCTTTAACAACCCTTTTGAGAGTTGCGTTATTTTGGGTATTCGGTGGGTTCATTGCATGCAAACAACACCACATGTACAGAAAGCCAGCTGCCCCTCACATCTTGCAGTTAACTCGTGACAATCGCAGCTTGACAGCTGTAGCTCGGGATACATAATTGGCCCGAAGAGTCCGATCTAATCACTTCGTACGGCCCCTCTGGTTTGCGTATGTATATATATATATATATATATCCCAATGTCATCGCACAACATTAAGTTCATTGCCAAGCATACTCCTTGTTTCGTGCTTTTCAAATTGACCATTATGGGATTCAAGGTCGTCATCGTGGGCGGCAGCATTGCTGGCCTTTCGGTGGCTAACATGCTAGAAAAGTTCGATATCGAGTATGTCCTCCTGGAAGCCTACCCACGAATAGCTCCTCAGGTTGGCGCCAGCATCGGCCTCCTACCCAGTGGTTTCCGTATCCTAGATCAACTGGGCTGCTATGAAGCCGTCCTCGATGTTGCCGGAAAATGCCGCGATATTTATGGCAGTGTACACGGCCCCGACGGCACCCCTGTTAGTGCTCCTACACACACGAGCACAGCGACCCATTTCGTCAAAAGGTAACAGCCCCGGTCTGTTGTTATTTCCGCATCTTGTGCTTTACTTGACTGATCGTTTCGTTTCGTTTCCATTTTCTCCACAATTGTGGTTTATATTTCAATGTTTATGTTTCTTCATATATCTCCCATACTCATATCACCTTTCTGTGCAGAATCAGCTATCCGTCCGTTTTCATCGACAGGCAGATGCTCCTGCAGATCTTGTATGGCAACATCAAGCACAAAGATCGAATTTTGACCGATAAGCGTGTCTCCCATGTTGACCTTATGCAAAATGGGGTCCGAGCCCGAACTGAAGACGGCTCTATATATGAGGGTGACATTATTGTGGGCGCAGATGGCATTCACAGCGTTATAAGAGACGAGATGTGGCGACTTGGAAAGGAGCAGAGCCCCGGGTATTTTCCTGAGAACGAAACATCCCGTATACACTCCTCCCTCCCCAACCCCCCCGGCCTTGCCAGCCCCCGAGATTTCTTGCTTACATGATGTGCAGGTATTCCTGTGTCGACCAGATGTATATTCGGTATCTCCAACCGTCCCCCAGCCTATGGCAAGCAGACCCAACATCTCGTACTCGGCTACGGCCATGCATATGTCATTGTGGCGGCGCCGGGAGACCGGACATACTGGTTCCTCTTTGATGGCTTGCCGCACACCGAGTACGGCGAGAATATTTCCAAGTACACAAAAGCCGACGAGGACAAGCTTGCTGATGAGCACCGTGACGATCGTATAACCAATGATGTCACCTTTGGCGATCTGTACGACAGGAAAATCATTTCCACACTCTTGCCGCTGGAAGAATACGTGTTTGAGCGCTGGCATTATAAGAGAATCATCACCATTGGTGATTCTGCTCACAAGGTACGCTGACAACAACTGTTGACTGATGTGTACTTGCCTGTAGTGATGTTCATCCTCTAACTGACATAGATTGATCCTGCTTCCGGCCAAGGTGGCAACGGAGCCATAGAATCCGCCGCACTTCTTACCAATGCCCTAGTTCGTCAGCTCAATTTGACGCCGGATGGTCTCTCCAGTGATCAGGTCAATGATGCTCTATCAGAGGTACACGCCAACCGCTACGAACGAGCCAAGCGGTTGGTTGACGGGGCTCACACGCTCCAGCAAATTGTCAGCTATCGGTTCCCCCTGAGCCGTTATGTCCTTGCGCATATTGTTCCGCTACTGGGAAAGGAGGCCTTTGTTGATGTCGTCACGCCAATCTGTGCCGAGGCCTCAAAGATTGAAGGGTTGCCCGTTCCGTATAGGCCCCACTGCGTCCCATGGGAGGACGAGCTGCCGGCGAAGCCCGTCAAGAGTATCCTTGCTACTCGTTCTGTTTGGGCGCTTTCATCCGGGTCCCTCGGGTACCTGCTATCTTCGAACCTTTCCAGGTATAACGCTGGAAATCCCGGGGGGTCTGTTTATGGAATCCTGCAGTCATTAGGTACCGGAGGGCTTCTCGGCAGGATAGCTGGTCAGAGTCCGGTGCCAGGCCAGAGTCCAATGGCAACGCTCGTCAATATGGCTCCTATAATCTCTACGTGGATTGTAGAGAGTTTTCGGAATGGGAACTCGCTCAATCCTCTCTCATGGTCCGTATCCCCTCCATGACGATGGATTGGTGGATGAAGGAAGGCAAAAAAAACTGACTTCACGCAGGACGAGAGTTAACCCGCTCATCTATACCCTCATTGGTCCGAATGCAGCAATACCATATTTCTGCTTGTCCTCGGTGCTCTTCTCTACCAAGTCGACAACGTCCAGGCCTGTCAAGTCAGACATCGCTCGGTCTATAATTCCCGGAGTCCTTCTGGGATACGTGGTGCCGACAATCACGGCGCTGATTCCATTCCGTAACATCAGCATGAGGCGTCATACGGCAAACGTCTGGCAGGCATTTCCTGTGCTCACCATGGCCTTCACCACAGGGCTCGCCGCCATTCGCCGCAGGATTGCTGGAAATGTGACCCGCCCAGAGTATGAGGGCAAGACTGACAGCGAAGGCAATCCGGTAGATCCAGCCGCCGTCGAATCCGATCTCTGGATATACACTGATGACGATGTGGTTCCTCTTGAGCGCACACATGCTTTCGGCCTCATCCTTTGTGTGGCTGTCCCAATCCTAACTAGGGTTACGTCATCCTTCACCTCTAGTATCTTCAATAACTGGACACAAACAGGCGTGTCCCGAGTACTACCCCTTAGTGCCACGGCATCTGTCACTGGTGCGGCCTCCGGCATTATTTATTCGCTGTACAGTGCTTGGGAGCTGCGCTCGCTCGGCTTTGTGGGAACGGGTGAGGCCATGTTGGGCGGTGTGGCCTCGGTAGTTTCTCTGGGTCTGGCTGGCCCTGGCGCTGCCATTGCGACGGTTTCTTATTGGAGGGAGCGTGCTATTTCTAGCTTGAGCTCATGATGCGACCTAATGACAGGAGCGTATGCAGGCCTTTGGCTAACGGAGAGGCTTGTGTGGTATTATGTGCGGAGTATTCCGTATACTCATAATGTGTTACGGCCTAATGTGGGCCGACCATCTGAGCTTGACCCGCACTTCCCCCCACCATTTTACTCGAGATATGGGTTCCACGCTATTATAGGCGACTCTGCACGCACATGTTCACTAATTGCAAATAAGACACGAATACAATGATATAAGCAACTCTGAATGCCTTGAAATGGTAGGAGAAGAATTTAACTAGACGTGAAATGACAAATATAGTGATGGTCATGGAGTGTTCTCTCAAATGAAAATCACTTGTCTCTTCAAGGTTTATTTCCCCAGAACTACATCGCCATTGGGATGATCCGGCCATGTATTACCAATCCCAATGACAGAGTCGCCCTCCCACGAATTGATCCACTGTAATTATATAGGGAAATGAAACCCTCTAGCTAGGTAAGCTCAATGGATCGTATGTCCTCTATTGTGGTCGTATCATGTGACGCAGGCACTTCCGGGTTTAGCACTGATTGACACATCTTGGACTGGCTGGTACACTGGTCATCTGCAAACCAAAAGGTCGAAGCTGTAACATCCTCGGCAATGGTGGCTTCGAAAGGCCCAAGGAGGTGACGGGTTTGCTGTGCGGCATAGTTACGAGCCATCTTAAAATGTCTCAAGAGACTTGCAGCTTCCACCAATGTCGCAATGTCTTTCCATCCCATAATACTAGAAATGTGTCAGGACCCATTTGATGTATTGTATAAACATTGGACGAAAGGGTGAAAAGAGTAAGTGTATAAAGGAAAATTTAATCCATGGCTACACAGGCAGATTGAGTATGTTGCTATCCGGCACCAGCTTCTGAAAGAGCGGCGGCACTCACGGTACAAAATGAGGTAATACTGGCATTGTCCTCCCAACGCTTTGTACGAAGGCTACTGGGGTTGCTTAAGTAAGATTTGTAGGCCATTAAAGCCCATCTGAACTTCGCTCATAGGTGCCTACCTGCCGCGGTCCCTCCTGGAGAACCCCACCTCCCTCCTCCCTTCTACTTCCTCCCCGCTGAGGTAGAAAGAAGGTAGCCGCGAAGAATAGACGGAGGGAATAGAGAAGAGGTAAAAAGGAAAAATTCAATTGCCACTAAAGAGGGAAGAACTAGAGGAAGGATAAGATAATCGAGAGATATTTCCAATAATGTGTGTTCATGCATTTGATTCTTAACATCTCGTGATACCTTTTGAGGACGGACGCCACACTACCTCTACGACCAGGGTGGTTTTTATAGAGACCCAGTTGCAGGCAAGCAGAACCGCTAACTTTGTATCTGTAACTATGCCGTCCCTATTTTGAATATTCCTGGACCGAGAGATGCCATCATTGCATGAAGACTCGTCTAGGTGAAGGCCGAATGAGATTTCGTCGTCCAAAAACGCAGCTGGAAAGTTTAGCTGTAGTACCCACCCACATTCAATCAAGCATATAAGCTGTGTGAGAAAATTTCTTTCGGTGATCTCGAGCTACTCGATAGGGAAGTCGAGACTTGGAGATATTGAGGTATAGGTCAATTACTATAGCAGAATTCATATCTGTTCAAGCTAATATGTGCACTATAGCGTCTGTTTAAGGCCAGCGAATGAAAACCCCATCTTTTTAGCCCATTGACACACAAGCTTGAGATTGATAAACGCGTTGGGGCATAAACATATAAGAATTAAAATCGTCTCAATAGAGTCAAGTCGGCGCTTGTCTAAACATCTGGGAAATTTTGATACCTAGACAAAATATATCATCGCCAGATACGTTGCGATGCTTTTTTAGACCTCACGATATATGACTCCGCAAGAACAAAAAGTACCCAAGGCTTGCTGCGAATTGTCGCTCCACCAATGGGCTATCTCTATCGGTTTTGTCGCCGTGCCTATGTGGGTCTAGCTGAGGTAAGGGTTTACGGGTTTGTTATGAGGTAATAATTTGCGAATGCTGTCGATGATTTTGTCGATTGTGGTAGAGCTGTATAATATCTGCATGGTCGCCCGTATAGATGAGGGTGTTACTTTTCCCCAAAATGAAAATAGCCGATATATTCTTTGCGGTAGACAAGGCTGACACCGGTTGGCTGTAAATGAAACGGGCTTGTGGAATGGTGGGAGGAATGGCAAGGCTGTTATAAGCAGCGGGTTTGACTATATGGGGCACACACACACCTTCAAGTAATACTCGTCGATTATATAGTCCTCAATTTCAGAAAAACTCAGGCTAAGCACTTTCCCCTTCTCGCACTTCATACCCTCTTTGGCGTTCTGTTTATAGACACAATCTTGTTTAATTGGGTAACTGGCGAGCAATTGTAGAATCAAAAAATGTAAAGTAGACTTGCTAAGCTCCCTATTGGGAGTGCACACAAACAAGTGCTCGTAGAATATTATTTTATGGGGCTCATAGTGTGCTTTGTATTTCCTGGTAGGGAAAAAAGGTTCATCATGACCCTTCCGGATATTGTCTTTTATGCCCGAGTCCTTTTCCATTATCACGGTATTGAACCGAGCATACGTTAAAAGCGGAAGTTAAAATATGTGTAACTATTAATGCATATATATATATATGTAGATATATATGTAGATATGTATATAACCTATCAGTTGCCGCTTGCCATAGGGCTTGCCTTTAATATAATGTTGCACACCTTCTACATCAGATATGTGAGACATCCAAAGCCACTAAGCGAGATTTCTATGCTCCACGGACTTCTGCATCAGTCTTCGGACTCTCTACATCAGATGTCTCTGATGAACCTCCTGACGGCTTGCCTTCCGATGTTCTTCCGGACAATATAAAGTAGATCTTTTTCGCGCCTCCGTCAACGAGTGGGTACACATTGCTAACAAGGAGAGTAAACCAGAGGTATACTAGAGAGATGACGATCCACGCAGTGAAGAACTACACAGGTTATCAGTATAAAAGAAGTATCAGTACTTGGTCAAAAATTCACTTACTGATTTGGAAAAAACCATCTTTGCGCCATACATAGGCAGTGGCCACAAAAGGATATGGCCGATGACAGTCAAGACAGCCCAAAAGACAGCCCAACGACTCATGCGCCTCATATACTTGACTCTTTCGGGAGACTCGTCGGCTCTGACCTCTTGGGTCGCCTTTGTCTCATTTGCGCCATCTGGAGGTATGGTTTTAATGGCTCCAAAACGGCTCCATTCAAAATTGGCGGGTTTGGCCAAGGAAATGACCAATGTCACAGGCAGAGGGACAAAGAAGGCTGTAATACAACCGAAGAGGCATGGGAGAGTGCTACCTGTCGAAGTAATTGATAATCCTCCATAATACGCGTAGGCACTACCAAGCCAGACGCTGAGACCACATGTAACGCCGACAAGAGGTGCAGTTATTGCTGCAGCCTTGGACTGCCCGCGCCAGAAGAGGGCAAAGCAGGTAGGAAACACTCCGGGGTTGATGAGGTTTCCCATTGCGTAAAACAGCCATGTCATATCTACGCCTCCTTTGTGGAAGCCAGTTGCAATAGACGATATAACCAGGGCGGTGGCAATAACGCCTATGTGTGACCAACGGATGAGGTCCTTGTTGGTGGCGCGCGGGTTGATGTAGGTGCCATATATATCAAATGACACGATAGAACTTGTAGCAATCATTTGCGCCGAGGCAACCGAAGTTGTAGCCTAGGATCCCCAGATATCTCAGCTATCTCTCCGATACTTGCTGCTGAGGGAGGGGAGTAGGTGAAGGACATACCATGAAAATTGTTAAAAGGAGGGCCACAGCGCCACCCTTTCCAGCGACAGTCTGAACAACGTACGGCAAGACGAGGCCAGATGCCACCTCCTGCTCTGTCATGTTCTGTACCCAAGATGAGTATCACGAAAATCAGGTAGAGCGGAAGTGAATTCATGCCCTCACATTGGTCTACATATAGGAGCAGCGGACTTACCCTGGGATATGTAGGCCAAGCAGACGTTGATTCAAGGGCAATGGCAGCTAGACCACCAATTGTCCCTACAGTCCAAGGGACGGAGAAGGAGGCCACGCCACCGAGAATGTAACCCGGAACAGTAGCGGTTACATCGGCAGAGAAAGCCTTTTGCCAGAAACCTGTATCCATGACGACAGATCCAAAGTTGGTACTTATCTATGAGCGTCCTGCATTCCAAATGAAAAGGGGCTATGACTTACATAACATGCAGAATACCGAAGTACAAGCACTGCTCGCTGCGCATGGTGAGGTGAGAGCCCTGATAGTTGCCCTCAACAGGCTTCACCTGATCTGCAGAAATAACGGCATCATATAGAGCGCCTAAGGAGCCAATCTCTTTTACGGCAATAATCTTAATCATGAGCCACACGAGAATTATCATGATGATGAATGTGTGAATATAGTCCGTCAAAAAGGTAGCACGCAGCCCGCCAAAGTACGTGTAAATAGCGACACCAAGCTATCGGTTTCTCTCGGTTATTAGCGATACTTAGGAAGAAAAGAGTCAGGTCCATATTTCAGGGTGAGTGCGTACCGGCATAAGATATGTGCTAGCAATGACAGACATTCCCGTCAGAGCAGTCACAGCTGTACTGGCCCCGAGGAGCATACTGGAGAACATAAGCAGGTTATTCACAAGGCATAGGACAATCCATAAAATATGTGCGCTCGCCCCGTAACGGACTCGGATAAGCTCTAGCATCGTATGCGCATTTGGTGCTCGCCGTTTGGTCTGGATCGAAATGACGGCCAGGAAGCATACCATAGTGCTGGCTGATGCACCCCACCAGACACCCAGGGCAAGGCCGTATCGATATGTTAGGAGAGTCGACCCCAAAAGTGCAGTGCTGTAGAGCCAGGAGGATATAACGGCAGCAGCGGTGAGCCCGGTACCGACGATGCGGTTAGCGACCATGAAACTATGGCAGTCAGCATAATCAATTGTTATAGGGGCCAAGGAAGTGATGAAGGTTAGCTAACGCACGTCTCTGTCGAGTCATTGTCCTCATTGAATGCCTTTTTCAGTGCTCTTGTCACCCATATCATGCCTGTTGATGACTATCAGCATATATGCGAGCAATACCGACCAAAGTCACCTTACCTAGAGCAAAAGCCACTCCGAGGCCGACAACGATGCTGTACCCAGCGCTCTGGGGCAGCGGCGGAGAACTGTCGGACATTGTGGCCTTAGTTGTTAGATTGTCTATACAATAAGACGGCGACTTCCCGGAACGTTGTGTGTTTACTCATATCAGCGCCTTGCTGCTTTATGTGTGCCGCGCGGATTCTTCTGTGCTTTCTGCCCAGTGCTATCTTGATGGCGTCTTGAGCAGTACATATTACACGATAATGCCAACAGCCAGACAGTACATGAATATCCATGCCGTACTGGGTTGCAGTGACGCATAGGCTCTGAAGCGGTTCTTCGGCAGCTTGATGATGTACCGATTGGTCAATTATGAACCTCTGTAGATATGGCTTCCTCCCCTGATGATTCTTCTCCACGGTAGGTGCTTTCTATGTAATGCTAATGGTCGTTGTGGTGATGGTGTCATTCGATGCTGTATCACCTCAATGCTTGGCGTTGCAGCAATGTGAAGACCTGTACCCTTGGTTCATCAGAAATAACAGGGAAGTGTTTCGGTTTATTCCCGCATCGGAAAAAGAAAGTGCAGGTTGGGTCGGATGGCCGTGCTCTAGATACTAGACAATTATTACTACTTACCTGTATTATGACAAGTGGTTAAGATCATCCATCAGATGTCTTATTATTATTATCGTCTCAGTAGATACCGGTAATACGCATTACCTCTAATAATAATAAGTACGCTACATGCCTTAAAAATTCTACCTCAACACCCCAGCAACTGTTTGCCTAGGCGTACTCGTAATATTGCGTGGCCTATGATAAACCATGGTCATGGTTGTATCTTTAGCCGGGTATTGTTATGTGATAACAGCGCGCGTATTACAGCGTACCCAAATGTCCTTCTCCCCCACAGAAGAGGCAATTCCTGGTGGCCCAATCGGAGGCGCCAGAAAAGTTCAACTAAGACCAGCCTCTCTGCTATAGCCTATTATATACTCCCGGCCTCTCGGAGATGGAGCCGGCGTATGATACAAGTCTCCCACCTCGGCCTGTTGGCAAGTGAGATAACAGTGGACAGATAGGTATACCGTTCATGTATTCTGGGGCGTAGACGACTAGACCGCTGGTACCGACTACGAACGACGTCTTGTTATGTTATTCAATATGCGTCCTGCCCACTACGAGACCTGGAATACATACCCTTTCCTGCAGTTTAAGTACTGTATTGAACTTGAAAAGGTGTTCCAAGCAGTGAATCAATGGATTCTGTACATGTAAGCTACGAGATATGAACTTGAGCGTAGAAAAGGCTGGGCAAGATCATGACCATAAATCATCATCACTTCCGCGTACATCGGGCCTTAAGTGTGCGGAGGGACGCACCATATACAAAGAGCATGTGTTCACTTGGAAATACGTTTCTAACCATTGGTGACCCTGTATACGATCTGTTTGTTTTATTACACGTGTTTCGTGAAAACAGTCAAATGGCCATGAATAGTCTTCGGATCGGTACCAGAGCCGCCATGGCATTTGAAAGACGTGGGCGGTTTGTGGGGTGACGGTTGCTGTGTGACTCTCTCACCTGGGCAACCTACGGCTGCTCAACTATGGGCCCAGTTCAGGGGGTATAGGCTGACGGCCAATGACCGCGGGTGTTACATGTATGCCTAGCCACTGCCACTGTTCAGCCACTCAAGGCGTCGCTTGGTTCATCTTCGATGAATTAGTATTCACGTGTAGTGCTCCGTACAGGTACTGCTAGTAATAATCCCATATCCAGGCATGGCCAGAATGACGTGCCCATTTCATTCGGCGTTGCTGATCAAAAATCCGCTATAATAACGCGAACAACCAAGTGCCATCCGAATGCGGGGTCGTTGGTGGTCGGTGCACTGCTTTTACCCATGATGGCTGGATCCTTTGTTCTTATGGACGGGTCACCGCTATCGTTGCACGAATGGCCATGAATTCAATCTCACGGCGAAAGTTCACGTCAACCGTAACGTGGATACCTTAAAAGGAAGGTTGTACCTTTGACGCGTCCTAATTCGCCGATAGCGATTGTTTGGCAATAGAGATCCACGCAGCCGTCTTTGGTCACGGGGGTGGAAGCTCTAATTTCTACTACAAATTGCTGCTGGGCCGAGCTCGGTACATTCGGGGTGCTCTCGATTATATCCTTTCTCTACCTATACAAGAGGCGCGCTTCACTCGTCGCAGAACATTCGAGTGATGAAGCTAAGTGTCATTGCAACCCTGGCTGGTCTGCTGGCATCAACGGCCGCATTCCGGGGCTTGCCCATTCCAATTGGGGAACTTTCCAGGCAGCAGCAGGTACGCACAAATCTCACGACAAACTAGAGTGCGTACTCAAAATGTAACTTCGACATGCCACTGACGATTTGACGTAACCGCAGCCTGCAGCTATTCAAAGCTCTCTGTCTGCGTCTTATCCCGAGTACAATCTCTCTATTCCTATTGACCACTTCCTCAATGAATCGATCTACGAACCCCATTCCCGCAACAAATTCAACCTGAGGTACTGGTTTGATGCGCAGTTTTACAAGCCGGGTGGCCCGATTTTTGTTCTATGCGGAGGCGAAACCGATGCCCAGGATCGACTCCCATTTCTCCAGAAGGGCATTGTCCACGAAATTGCAAAGGCCACGAACGGGGTGGGGGTAATCCTGGAACACCGCTATTATGGAAAGAGCATTCCCACGCCCGACTTCAGTACCGAAAACCTTCGCTTCTTGACGACTGAGCAGGCCTTGGCCGATACTGCCTACTTTGCGAAACATGTTAAATTTCAGGGCCTTGAAGGCTTTGACCTGACTCCTGAGAAAACGCCGTGGCTCGCTTATGGGGGATCCTACGCTGGGTCATTTGCCGCTTTTCTTAGGGTCGTCTATCCAGACACCTTTTTCGGCGCCATCTCATCGTCAGGTGTCCCAGCGGCTATATGGGACTACTGGGAATACTACGAGGCAGCCAGGATCTTTGGCCCCCCCGTTTGCAGTCGTACACAGGGCAAATTGACCAACATAGTCGACAATATCCTCTTGAATGAAACCAATGCCGACTACGTTGTTGATCTCAAGACAGCGTTTGGAATAGACGCAAAGATCGACAATGCCGACTTTGTATCTGCAATCACTGGTGGCATCACTTCACTGCAAAGCTACAATTGGGATCCAGAAGTCAGCAGCGATGCTTTTTTCACGTACTGCGATACCATATCCAACGACGAGAATCAGTTCCCAGCCTTAGAGAGCAATCGCCCCTTCGTCGAGAAGATTGTCGCCCAGACAGGCTACGCAGACGACCCGGATCCATTGGTTGATCGTATGCTTAACTATATCGGAACACAGCGATCTGGATCGGGATCCGACTCAGGGTCCGCCGAGATTTCCGACAAGTCCTTTTACGATCAGGACGACCTTTCCCAAACATGGAGACTTTGGCCGTATCAGGTGTGCACCGAGTAAGTACTGGGCTCGCGATATCCCCGCATTTTGGCAACGGCTTACGTTTTCTTTCTTTCTAGATGGGGCTTCCTTCAAACTGGATCCGGTGCACCAAGTGATATACTGCCAATGGTATCAAGGCTTATTGATATAGAATATAGTTCCCAGATATGCAGAGATGCCTTCAACATCACGAAACCGGCCGACACTGACCGGATCAACAAGTATGGATCATTCAACATCTCGTATCCTCGCCTCGCGTTCGTGGATGGGCAGTGGGACCCTTGGCGTGCGGCAGGGGTGCATGCACTATCTCAAGTTCAACGCGACTCGACCATAAGCGAGCCCATGATCTTGATCGACGGCGGTGTGCACCATTGGGACGAAAACGGCGTTTTCCCCAATGAGACAAAGCCTGGGTTCCCACCAAAGGCAGTTATAATGGCCAAACGGGAGATGCGTGACTTTGTAAAGGAATGGCTGGGGGACTGGGTTTGAAGACCCATCGAACTTTGAACCAACCTGGATGATCCCCGTGTTACGAGTAGTTTGCACACGACGGATTACCTCAAATAGGGCAGTATGCCCAGCGCCCTTTGACAGCACTATCCTTACAAGTCCTACGCCATCTACAGCTTCGGTAATGAAACAACAGACCGAAATGTCCACGACAATTTTCTGCTCATTTTTCCCTTCGTCGATGTCTGCTCTTTTTGATCCGTTCTCCCCTCTCAGGAATGTTGACTGGGCAAAATGCCAACGATCAGTGAAGCTTCGGTAGAGAAAAATAACCAGTGTTACAGAGGCTGTAGCAGTACAGACGGTCTAACCACCTTGGAATAGGGTGCTGCACGTGATTTCACTTTTCCCCAGGGGGTTGATATTGAACGGATATATGTACCAGGCCTAATGAAACAATAAGCGGGTTGACATCAAACGTGATAGGTAAAGCAGTCTGAAAACCCGTCCTTCTGGTGTCGGCCCGTCCGACATGACGGTTTATCTTCTCATTAAGCCAACACCTAGTTGGCTACTAGGGGTACGAGAATAAAATCCATAGCTGCATGAGTTATAGGACGAGATATGGAACATGTGTGGATTATGAATCCTGACTTATTGGGCCTTGATACTCATATATCATGCGAGATACCCAAGTGGCGATGGCCGTTGTAATGTTTATCATCGGCGCACGGAGAGACCACGGGCATTGATAATGGGCCAACAGTCGTTGGCCAGAACAAAGCGGGCTGTCCGCTGGTCTCTGATGCGCACGTCGCATTCTCAACTATCCTCTTTCACATCTACCTGATTGACAAGGGGGCACGATTATCTTCAGTGCTCCCCGGGCTCGATAGAGAACAGACCCTTTGAGCTACTATAGATGACCCCAAATTCTTATCTAAAGCGAACTTGGTGTTACCCCTGTACCTTTGAGCATTGTTGTCACATTCGAGAAGACCCATCGTTATCGACGTATATAAAATGAACCGCTTTGCCTTGCTTGATAAACGCGGAATTTTGTTTAGTTTTTTTCACATCCGTTCAGTCTGCCTCAGAGTTTCGCCTGCCATCCATATTCAGTCTGCTTAGATTGACAACCTCCCTTAGCTAAAAACACTGGGTACGGTTAAATAGTTGCATCCACCATGTCGGCTGTGAAGAAGTTCTTCGCGCCGATGCGCATGTCCTTGACATCGGCCCTTGTTATATCAGTCTGTGTTGTCGACTCGGTCACCATAGCCTATGACGGATCCCTCATGGGGTCACTGAACGTCATGCCCAGCTACAACAAGTACTTCGAAATCAGCAGCCGAACACAGGGAATCATGTCGGGCGCAACCTTTGCTGGTGCCTGTGTTGTTGCACCTATGACTAGTAAGCTCATCAATTATAAAGGTCGAAAACTCGGCATCCTCATATCTGCCCTCATGAACATCCTCGGCGCCGCGCTGGGCGGGGCTGCTCAGAACATGCCCATGTTTATTGCTGCTCGTGTTATTGTTGGTATGGGTGTGGGTATTGCCCAAACGTCAGCCGCCAGTTATGTCAGCGAGACAACGGCCCCTGATATTCGTGGCTTTGCTCTTGGAATGTATTTTACCTGCTGGGCCCTCGGATCCTTCCTTGCTACAGGAGTTTGTCGCGGTGTAAGTGCATACAATTGGATCGTCTCACAGCGGGGGATAAAAGGACACTAAACCATGTTGACTAGGCTACCAACCTGGAACCGTCGAATTGGGCATGGAGACTCCCAAGCCTCCTTCAAGGTGCCATTCCATGCATGGTCATTTGCGTCCTCTTCTTCGTTCCCGAGTCACCCAGATGGCTCTGTTACAGTGGTCGTGAGGAAGAAGCTCTTCAGTCATTGGAGCTTGTCACTGGGGCACACCGAGACTCACCGGTCGTCCAGGCCCAGCTTCGTGAAATAATTGACACTCTTGAATACGAAAGGACCTTCAGCCACGGAATAGACTTCCGTGAGACCTTTCGGACACCCGCTAACCGCAGGCGCGTGTTGCTTGCCGTCTCCGTGGGCCCTCTCGCCATGCTTACTGGATCAAATGTCATCACGTATGTCCTGTGGGCTGAAAATAACTATATGCAAGACTCGCAGATTGACATACTGACTTTCTGGTTTCTCTAGTTACTATTTTGGAACCATGCTTTCCCAGGCTGGGATCACAAGTGAGACGAAACAACTGGAGATCAATCTTGGACTCTCTGCTTGGCAATTCATAGCTGCTTTGACTGGATCCCTTCTAGCCGACCGTATTGGTCGCCGTGGTCTTGCACTCATCAGTCTGGGCACATGCACCATCTTCTTCTATATACTCGGCGGACTCACGGCGGCCTATGGCGAGTCAGAGAACAAACCTGGAGTGTATGCCACCGTTGCGACCATTTATCTATACCTTGGCGCCTACTCCTTCGGAATTACCCCTCTGACAAGCATGTACGGCCCCGAAGTCCTCTCATATAGTATACGTGCTTCGGGTATTGCTTGCTATGCTGTGGGAAGCGAGCTAAGCGGCTTCTTCGTTACTATGGTGTTTCCCATCATGTTCGACAATATTGGATGGAGGACGTACATGATTAACGCATCATGGAATGTGCTACTGTGGATATTTGTATACTTCATGTGGGTCGAGACTAAAGGCCTCACGCTTGAGGAAGTCAGTGAGATTTTCGATGGCCAGAAACACTCTACTCCTCCAGATTTGGCCGAAATTCAGGACAAGGAGGCAGGAATAGTCATCACGACTTCGGCAACAGATATGGCTTGATTTTTAACCTGGACTTATTGGCAGTTTTCATATATCCAATACAGGTCGTTGCGTATCGCCACAGTGCCGATATCGTTACGCTATATTATACGTACACGCAACATCGTCGACGCCAACGAAGGGAATCTCGTTCTTGAATCCCCCAAAACTACCGTACCCACAGATCCTATGTAATTTACGATACATCGAAGACATTTCCATACACCAAGCTTCCGGCGGCCCCCAAAATCTCAAGACTATCCTCGTCTGGGGGGGCCCATAAGAAGCGGTCTCCATACCAGAGGCTTGAAAGATCCACTGTACGTTGGTTCTCCCCAATGGAGACATTGTTTTCGTTGTTGAAATCAGGGCCCGATCGTGTTCCTGAGATGGGATTGAAGGTCGTCCTCAAAGACGAATCCTGAAACTTGGGATTTTCTAGCAGATATCAATAGTTAGTTAGTCAAAGAGATGCAAACCACTCGAGCTACACCGCAAATAGCAGGCTTACCTAATACGTTCTGAAGAACTTCGCGAGCACGTAGGGCAATGTCCAGCGAGGAACCGAGTAATTGTAAGCAATCTACTGTCTGTAGTAGAGAATTCTTCCAGCCTGGAGAAAGTTTATGGCTTGGACTGTAAATGAGACACGTAGCTTGCACGAAACCGGCAGTTATCAACCAGGCAGTTGTATACCAAGCAAACCCCCTTCGGGTTGTCTGCATGGAATTTACAAACCCCGATATTGAACGGATACACTCATTGGCTGCCTCCAGACAAGAGCGTATAGGCTGGAAAGAGTCGTCAAGAGGTGCCCCAGACGCGATATTCTCGAAAAGAAAAGGTCGGTTCAGAACAATCCGCAAGTTAGATGATCTCCAAAGAAGAACTCGCTTTGGAAATTCTAACCGAGGCTCTAGAGCGTGATTTTCATCCAAATACCATGGTAGGCTTCTACACCATTGACGTATATCGTGTTCCAGGTTCATAGCCGTCGCATAGCTGGGGCGCCGATGTGTGAGAAGCTCATCGTGGATTGCGTTTGCCACCTTAGCTAGCTTGATCTGCTCAATGAGGCAAGACGCTGCGGTGGGCTCCAGTGACTCAGGAGGCAAGTCCTCCATGTCAACAGCTAAATTCATGTCGTCCAAGTTGGCTGGAAGGTGGACGTTGACGCCAACCAGAGACGCAGAAGGTCGACCTAGAGCAAGTTGCGCTCCTGACATAAAGACAAACAGTGTCCACCAAACCCGACGACGAATCTCCATTAGGAACGGGGTTGTATTTTGTACGTTGTGAGCGCTATGGGTGTCGAATTCTCGGTGTAGCCCGATGGAAAGAGCCATGCTGAACGAAATTCCTATTAGAATGAATCCGGCGTTTGGTTTATTGCGTTTTTGAAGATAGTTGGCGATCAGAGTTATTGCTTGAACGTATCCCAAAGAGCCCTTCTCTAGTATATCCATACTAAGGTGTTTGCGGATCTCGTTAAAAAATGGTAAATCGTTCTCAGCCGTATTGGGCCCTCCTACAAAAGCTCCGATGGCAAGAACAGAGTTGTATAGCAACGGCCACGATCCATCCTTAGGTTTGGGAACTGCACCTGATTGAATGTCAATAATTTAGATCTGACTTCACCAGGAGCCCCGGCCTGTCAATTTACCCAAACAGACGTACCTGAATGGCGAGCTCTAAACGTTCCTTCATGTAAAATGGGGTATGCTGGATGGTACAAGGAGAAATAATCATCGATATAGCGTCGTATTTCCGAAACTGGAAACGAATGTGCCTCTGGCACGTTTTGATCCTCCGATGCCGTCAAGGGAGAGGAACGAGATATCGGCAAATAAGGTGGGAGAGACCGGAGAAACTTGAGAGCTGCTATCCCTGACTGGGGCCCCGTATAGCCGGCCTTGTGCGGATCTGCGGTTAAAAAAGCCATACCGTCAATGGATCCTTCGGCATCTTTTGATTCATCAAATTCGTATTCTTCGGCATTCGTGGGCTCAACCGGTGATACCAATGCATCTTGCATGTCAGTCATGTCCGTAGCTGCGGCATCCCCAGTTGAGTTCATCTGTGCGGTGGTATCATCAAGAATACTCGGCGGTGAACTACCTTCATCTGGAGAATCTTTCGGGAGATCGCGAATGGCAGATTCTAAGTCAGTATTGGGAAGATGGATTTTCCAAGCCCTTTTTAGTGTTTCTATATTCTCCTGACTTTCCCGAAACCGCCTGGGTTCATATGTCAATAGTTGCAGCATATTTACAGTGGGCATATTGCACTGACCTCTGTAAAGAGACGAGTCTCTGGGACGGGGAGGAATACTGGCACTGCTTTAAATCTCGCGAACAGTTTGTACAGCAGTCACCCCCAGAGCAGCGAATCTTCCGTCGTTTACATTCGTCACATGCAAAAGACTTGCGCATCAGTCGCACTTGATCGTGTGGTTCCGCCATTTCCAAACGGCATGATTGTGTATGGATCGAAGATGAATGCGGGGAAAACCCCGGACAGGTGGAGTAGGTTCATGGGGAAGATCGTGATGCGCATGTACGATTATGTAACGCGGTGATTGGAGCTGTCTTACATCAGCCCAGCTTGTTATTCATTTATATTCATACTTATCCCTTCAGAATTACTCTCCTAGTATCGTGTAGTCGTACGTATTATATGGATATCCCTGTTCGGAAGCGAATGTGTCTTTACAAGTACATAAGCAGGGTCAGATACGTATGTGCTAAGAAGCTTGAGGACAATATATATAGCGCCAGCATCATGTAACTACAGATACTAAAAGCGGCTGATATATAACATGTTTTTTCTACGTGAAAGACGGCCTCAAGGGATATTCTCATTCAATCGTGCAATTGAACCGGGATTGATTTTCCGAACCTTAAATTGGGGGCCGGCCAGAAACCCGTCCGTGACCGTACTGACTATGATCTAGAAACGTAACAGTGAATCGTCACGGTACCACCTATGAGTATTATTTAGTACTGGGATGTGGAGGCATCCTGATGCTAGCTCGGTCCATCCCCGTTTTCCCAACAACCCCATGGGGAGCCTTGTCCGACTGGCTGTTGTGGACCTGGGGCACCGGATCTAGTCTCCGGTCCTTGACTAGCCTGGTAAATAAATTGTCTTACGTTTCCGCTGCCATGGACTCTTGATGGGGGTGAGCATTGCTTCTTTTGTATATACAGTCTTATGCAAATTTTGGGAATTTCACAATCTTTAACAAATATCGTTTATTACAAAGCAATTATCTCATTAACCATGTTAGAAGGCCATGCTCTAGAAGTCACTCTGACGGCGGCCAACTCGGCGGCACAGGCGTGGTATGGATATGATCAGGTATACATCTTTGCCTCTTCTACAGCCAGTCCGAAGGGTTACTAACATCCATGCAGGGTGTCGTCAGTGGCATGCTTGTAAGTGCGGACTTCATCAAAGTCTTTCCACAGACGAAGAAGTCCGATATCCAGGGGATCACCGCCAGTTGCTTCTCGGTAAGTATCTGGGTCTCAAGCATTGCAATCTTTGACTCATAAAGCTGATATTGTAAGCTCGGAAACCTCTTGGGCTGCTTACTCGCCGCCTGCTATGGAGGCCGCCTAGGACGAAAGAATACATTAAGAATAGGCGGCATTATCAGTGCTACCGGTGCCATTCTTCAATTTACGGCATATTTATTCCCACAATTAATCGTCGGGCGTGTTGTGAACGGCATTGGAAATGGTATGTCACCTTCTCGCCCCTAATAGTGGTCGCAGTACTGAAGCGACAACCCAATACAGGCATGCTGTCTTCGACTTGTGGCGTTTTTCAAGCCGAGTCCTGCGCCAGTAGCCGTCGCGGGAAGCTTTCCGTCATTGTTGTGCTACACAATGTGGTGTTCTATTGCATCGCAACATGGTTGACATTGGCATGTTCCTTCGCCTCGGGTGGCTGGCAGTGGCGGCTACCTCTCGCTCTACAGGTAATTCTATATTATGGTCTTCTCACTATCCCATTGAATTGCACAACTAACTTCCCAAGCTTGTTCTATTTCTGTTCATGATGATATTCCTGGCTTTCGTTCCCGAGAGCCCACGCTGGCTTTTGATTAATGAGAGAACTGAAGAGGGGCTGGAAGCAATCCGCAGATATTCTGGGAATGGGATGTCTTCCAATGACCCTATCATACAAGGTGAATTTAGATCCATCAAAGGTGCGATACTCATAGAAAGTCAGGCCGAGATATCTTTCAAGACTGTCCTTACTCGCCAGGACAACTCTGGCCATCTGAAACGTCTTCTCCTTGGTTGCGGCGGACAATTCATGCAGGTAAGTGTCGGTGATTTCCAAATCACCCTTCATTGTAACTAACGACTAAATTTTACAGCAATTTGGGGGAATCAACGCCCTCAACTATTATTTTATCATCATCTTAACGAACAACGTCGGACTGGATGAGCTTCTGGCACGAATACTGACTGGGTGCAACGCGACCTCGTACATGATCTCGTCAGCTTGCGCTTTCTGGGTTATCGACAAATTCGGACGCCGCGTGCTGATGCTCACCGGCCTTACTTTGCAAAGTTTTGCATACGTAATGGTCGCTCTCTCCGTTGCGCTGTTATCAACCGCCCCCTTCGAGGTAATATGGTATTCTATAAACTGATATGCTCTTGGCCTACCATGTTAACGAAATCAGTGGGGTATTGTCGCTGTTTCATTCCTATTCTTCTACTATGCAGCATTCGGATGCACATGGGGGATGGTCCCTTGGGTGTACCAATCTGAGGTCAACTCATTGGCTATGAGAACAGTCGGTGCTGCTGCTGCAACATCTTCCAATTGGCTTTCTGGCTTTGTCTGCACCCAATTCACGCCTTCTGGTATCGAAAACATCGGATACAGATTTTACATCAGTGAGGCCCTTTCGTCGCTTGTTCGCATTAAGGGCGTTGAACTAACCTTGAGTCCTGAAGTATTTGCCGTGTTCAACCTTGGCTTCATCGCTATTGTCTATTTCCTATACCCTGAGACAGCGAACCGAAAACTTGAGGACCTCGATGCCTATTTCGATTGCGGCTCTGGGCACTCTACTATTATCCCAATCGGGGACAAAAGTGCAAAGTCATCCAAGAGGCCACAGGAAGCGATCGAAGCTGAAGCCAGTCGGGTGGCAATGGCTACAGCGATTGATCACAAGCCAAAAGGTTCCACAGCTGAACACGAGGAGGACATTAGCCGTACGGTCAGAAGGTGCCACGCAGGTATATTGGACACTTGAAATGACGCCCTGGTCTCTATGACGCTGTTAAGCTCTACAACTACGAGCACCATTGGGTCGTTACTTGTATAAGGGAACAGATTGCTATCTTGTCGGACTTCAATGAAGTAGTAGCCTAATACCAACGTATTCATCATTTGACGTGTATTATCAACGGGCAAACATTTCCGATGGTGTATAAACTGCAGTCGGACGTGAGGTTGTGTTGCATAGCGGCATATTTCCCCGCACCGACGCACAGTTCTAGTATTCATTCGGTTGAAGCCCGAACCGAGGATGCACTTGCGGCGGGCTTATCGCCGAGTGGAATCGCAGAAAGGATTGGTTTACATCTCATATCTGACGATTTTACACGCTACCGCCTCATTATGATAGCTTTTTTGGAGCGCCGAAAAATACACCAGAAACCCTCACTTTGTTTCATAGCGACAGTATGCAGGCAGCGTGAGCAGGACATGGCTCGGCATAATCCCCGGTCGCGACTTCTTCACATACAAAGGGGACGAGACCTAATGAGGGGAAAAGATATGTCATGGCCGTATTATTTATATGTAGTAGCTAGCGGAGAACAGCGCCATAGTACCCTAATCACGGACCTCGCTACTTACGGTTCCCAAAGATGTCTTTACGCCTCGAAAATAAGATTGCTGTTGTCACCGGCTCGTCGTCGGGTCTCGGCCGTGCAATTGCGCTGCGCTATGCTCGGGAAGGTGCATGTGTCGTATGTTCTGACCTAAGACCAGCGGCTCGAGCCCCAGACCTTGAGGATAGCAATATCAAGACACATGAGTTGATCCGGCAGAACAACGGAACGGCCATCTTTGTCAAGACGGATGTCACTTCTGCCACCGAATGGGAGAATCTTGTCAAGGCCACAGTCGAGGAATATGGAAGGTTGGATATGTAAGTGAACCATCAAGTTGATATCTCGACCATAACTGAACCTTTCATAAGATTGGTGAACAACGCTGGGGTTGGGCTGGAAGCACTTAGACCTCCTGCTCAGGTTCACACGACAGACGAGGACTTATGGGACAAGACCATGATGATTAACTCCAAGTCTGTATTCCTCGGGTGCAAGTATGCTATTCAGCAAATGCTTCAGCAAAGCCCGCATGCATCTGGAGATCGAGGCTGGATTATAAATATTTCCTCCATTATGGCCCTCATCGGGGGGCCTAGCAACCGTTGGTCTCACCCCAACCCCCGCTGGTAAAAAAGACCTTGCGACGACTCACTGAATATAGCGTCGTACTGTGCGTCAAAGGGTGCTGTGAGCAGCCTGACCAGGCAGGTTGCTCTTGATTACGCACACAAAAGAATCCACGTCAATGCTATCTGCCCAGGATGTAAGTTGCCTCCCAAAATTAGCTAGAATAGTGGGCAAATATTGACTACGCCCAGATATTCGAACGGCTATATTCAAAGAAACTACCTCGCGCGAAACAAAAATTGAAGATTTGGAAAGGAAGCATCCTTTGAATGGTCCAGGAGAGCCGAGTGATGTTGCAAGCTTCGCCGTGGTTCTGGCAAGCGATGATGCACGCTGGGTTACCGGAACTTCCATGCCTATTGACGGAGGCTACACTGCGCGTTGATATGACCGTATGTTTGTTATTTTTATGCAGTTGATGAGAATTATAATCAGAACGACACAAAATGATGACCCATGTTTAAAATGTTAGTGATTGAGAAATCTGGGGGGATCTCTCAGCAACTATGTTCTCCACGCTAAACGAACCCCGTCTTTCCGTTTAACTATTACATGTCTTTCTTAGCTTTAATTGAAGTCTCTTCTAGCATGAAAAAATCGAAGCTTCTTCGGTATTAACTGTACCGAAGCGCGAAGGGGTTTAGAGAAATGACGTGGCGCAATTGGTTTCGGGCACCCGAAGGGACCCACGGGCAACATCACATGTATTAATCTGTACATGGCTTCTCATTGTTTCAACACATTAATACACCAAATCTTGTCCCCTGCGAAAAAAGGCACTACCATTACTAAGTTTGGACTTCAAAAGTAGTTATCAGAGAGCTTCTATGACTCGGAGTTATGTCCGTATGGTAGTATGTGCTGTGTCGGAGCCGACTCGGGCAGCATGTTGTCTGATGCAGGCTCCCGGATATACCCCGCTAGCGTGATGTAGTCTAAATGCTTGCTCCGTACTCCGCAAACCCCCCCTCTGACTATGTGGAGATCGACCTGAAGCATAGCAACCCGACTCGGGGGGGATAGCTTGGGGTAAATCTTTGTCGGTCTATTACTTTAAAACTGACTGACCTTGGAGTAATGAATATTTCCTCTGGCGGATTTAAAAGTTGTAGGACAACCCTAGCAAGAGCTGTTGTTCTTTCACTTAGCAACCCTCCTTTTGCAAAACGCCTGAAATTCCCACGATATCCATTACTTACCAATCAACATGTCTCCCATCGCTTTAGATCAGTCTGACCCGGCCTCCCCGAAAAGATTCGATCATGTGATTAATCTGCCGCAGACGGTCCCGGTCGTCCCGCCGCCAAACGCCTGGAGGGTTGCCACTGAGTGGCTAAAGGACCTGGAATCGGTCTTCTCTTCCAAGGACCTCTCTAGCCTAGACGAATTGTTCCACGAAGACTCTTGGTGGCGTGATATCCTTGCACTTCAGTGGGATTTTCGCACCATCCATGGACGAGACGCAATTCGAAAGTTTCTGGAGGGAAACCAAGGATCATCGTCTCTGACTGCGTTCAAAATCCACGAGTCCGGGAAGTTCCAACCCCGTTTTGAGGTTGTCGACAAAGACACTGGCTTTTCTTGGGTATCATCAATGTTCCATTTTGAAACCGCTATCGGTCGCGGATCTGGTGTTTTACGCCTCACCCAGGAACAGCCTGGAATCTGGAAGGGATTTTCCGTTTACACCACGCTCCAGGAGCTAAAGGAGTACACTGAGCCACTCAATGAGAAACGATGGTATGGTACGATTGATTCTATGCCGGGCGGACTCGCGAAAGGCACATGGGTTGAGCGACGCCGCCGTCAGAAAGAGTTCATCGATGAAGACCCACAGGTCCTCGTAATTGGAGCTGGTAGGAAAATCCCCAAGGCCGAGGCTCCTAATGTACCAAAACATGTTTTTCTAATTGTGTATTGTTTAGGCCAAGCCGGACTGAATGTTGGCGCCCGTCTTCAGTCACTCGGAATGACTGCTCTAATCATCGACAAGAATGACCGGGTTGGAGACAATTGGAGAAACCGCTACAGGGTGAGTTCACGCTTACGTTTCCCATCCCTGCATTCGTGGTGCTGACTAGAGATGCAGACACTTGTGACGCACGACCCGGCCGAGTTCACGCACATGGCATACCTGCCATTTCCTAAGAATTGGCCCCAGTTCACCCCCAAAGACAAACTTGGCGACTGGTTTGAAGCCTATGCCTCCATAATGGAGCTTAATGTCTGGACAAAAACAACACTTCTCAATGCAGTCTTCCACGAGGCCAAGTCCGAATGGTCTGTTGATTTGGTTCGCGATGGCGAGAAAAGAACATTCAATCCAAAACACATCGTCTTCTGCACCGGTCATGCCGGAGAACCACTAGTTCCATCATTCCCCGGGCAAGAGGATTTCCAAGGAGAGGTTTACCACGGAAGCAAACACCAAGATGCATCCCAGTCCGACGTTAAAGGGAAGAAAGTCATTGTTGTCGGTACCGGAAACAGTGGCCATGATATTGCCGAAAACTTCTACGAGAATGGTGCGGATGTCACGATGTTGCAGCGGTCGGGGACCTATGTTCTTTCCCTCGATAGAGGAGTTTTCATGCTCCATGAAGGGGTACACGAAGACAACGGGTGAGTGTTGCCTGTGCACATGCAACTCGGCATTCTTCGTATTAATTTTTTACAGACCACCAACCGAAGAGGGCGACATTGTATGCGAAAGTCTTCCTTACCCGGTTCAGTTCGCCTTGTGCAGAGGAGGCACCAAGAGAATATATGAGGCCGACAAGGAAACAATTCAGGGCCTTGAACGTGCTGGGTTCAAGATGGACTACTCCATTGATGGGGCAGGGATAGCCCGGCTTTATTACACCCGTGGGGGCGGATATTATGTTGACGTTGGTTGCAGCAAGCTCATCATTGAAAAGAAAATCAAGATCCATCAGAGCCCTGGAGGTATCTCCGGATTTACACGCGACGCTCTGATTCTCAAAGATGGGACCCGACTTGAGGCCGATGTGGTAGTCTTGGCAACCGGCTACGATAACATGAAGACGACCGCACGGAAAGTTATGGGCGACAAGGTCGCTTCCCGGCTCAAGGATGTGTGGGACCTCGATGAAGAAGGAGAGCTGAATGCGGTAAGTGTTGGCTATTAAGCGATTTTCTAGACCAAAGCTAATGATTGCTTAGATGTGGCGTCCAAGCGGACATCCCAACTTCTGGTATATGGGTGGCAACTTGGCGATATGTCGCATATATTCCAAATACGTCGCGTTGCAGATCAAAGCACAGGAAGCAGGTCTTAACTAGCTACCAGCTGTGTTCTAAGGATTAGAAGCACCACGAAGTAATCGCAGCATGATATTCAATAGGGTAACTTCCGACGACATATCCTTGAAATTCCCTTGTCTTATGTGTCTTCCCAAAGAATAAATTCATTACTGTATTCGAGTGGAATACTGTCAGGTTCTTTCCTTCAATCCATATTGTAGGCGATCTCTTCCTGGCTGGTTTGTCTCACATTCCCCATGGAGCAGATTGTGATGTCTACCTTTAAATGCCACACCATAGCTGATCGCGGAAACTTTTTGAATTAGTGGGTTGACGACGATTCAATAGATACGCGGCACTTATATACATGGATTTTATCCTTTTTTTTTGTATCTATCTAAGAAATCGACTTCACATCCCCATTGAGGAAGTTAACCTACCGAAGACTTAAAAAAAAAAACATCTTGCGCATCAACTCCAGAAGACGCCAGAAGCGACAAAAACAAAAGCTGCGTCGAGATGTCATGGTGCTTCGTCACATTTTACGGTCTCAGGTTTAAAAAGAATGATGCCGGTCTTTCAATCGGGCAATATGAATAGTGGCTGGCCTACCTCGCGAAATACTTAGCTCCCTCTATTGGAAACCCGCGCATTATTTCTACGCTAGGTGTAGTCTTGTCACTTTTAGCAGTTTCATAGTTTTACTTTTATCAAACCCCCAATATTGTCCACTAGTATATATCTTTTGGCGTCTTTTTCCTTCGAAGAATATATTGAATTGTATATACACTTACGTTGGGAGAAATGCAGCTGACCCTTAGTGGGTGTCACTCCTGTACCAGCGACCATCTCCATCAACGATATTGCCCCGCTTCTATTCAAGATAAGGACCATGTTCATATCTTGTTTACCATGGGATGGTCGGAGATAAACGTGTATGCAGATTTGATAAGATATTGTTGCCCTCTCTTCTGGAGCGTGTAAATCTTTGTCTCGTAAGACTCAAGTGAGGTTTTCGGCCCATCGCAAGATGCGGATTTGATGAGACTTTTCTATCCTAATCCAGCACACTTGAAAAAGTTGTGGTTTAAGTGGAAACAGCAAAGTAATGATTTCAGCCATTTTGATTGCAATGTTTTCATGCTCGACGACGATTCCTATATGTCTGATCTGGACTTTTCAACCAACCACCCCGGCTAACTAGTAGAATCGTAGAACGCTACCCAGTTCAAGGTTAGATGCCCAATGATCTTTCTGCACTCATACATAGTATGGGATAAGTCTTTCGATTCTCAAATATCCAGTATTGCTATACTTTGTGGCACATGTACGGAGGAGTGGCGCAGTGATTGACACTTTGTATCAAATTGGGCGCAACCCTCGACCTAGATACGTACGCTCGCCAAATTCTCTCTCTGCGACCTGAAATAAGGGCAAGCCCTGAAAATAACCACCTTCGGGCTTGCCAATTGCCTCCCAGGTACTTTGTGCCTCCTCATCCCCGATAGTAACAAGGGGCTTTCCAGTCCCAGCAGATGAAGCATCCGCTGCCAACTGGACCTGGCAACACTTTTCTAACAAAACAAACCAGGCTACTGTAGCCTCAATGGTAGGTCCAGCCGTCAACAGGCCGTGGTTTCCCAGAAGAGCAGCTTTCTTGTTGCCCAAGCACTTGGCAATCTGCTTGCCCTCATCCGTGGCGAGCACCAGGCCAGCAAATTGGCTAAGAGGGTGGTCAGCGAATTCGCATTTCCCCAGAAACTGACACATATAGAGACTTACGGGTACAGGACATGGTCGTTGTAGAATGTACAAAAGTCCTGTGTCAGCATATCCAGTGTCTTGCCCGTAGCGCACATGGCACGACCATAAAGGCTGTGACAGTGGGCAGCACACAAAACATCCGGCCTTGCCTTGTGGATCTCAGCGTGAATAGCATATGCCGCTTTGATGGGTTATTATTCGATATTTATAATGAACAATACCAATCAAAGCGTGTGGCTTACCATAGTTGAGCCGTAGATTGCTTCCACCTTCGACCACCTTTCCGTTATGGTCGACTCGAATGAGGTCATCGTCTGTGATTAGAGAGAAATGCAACCCTAGTATTTGTCAGTGAACCGCATTGCTCTCACTTTATAATAACGGGCTGTCTTCTTACCAAACGGATTCACCCAAAAGCTTGTTGGGTCCACGGGGTCTCTCATCGTAATGTGCCCAGCAACGCCCTCTGCGAACCCAAAATTGGCAAAGACACGGTAAGCCAAGGCCAGTCGGTGTTTCAAAAACCTTCGTTCCTCATGTTTATCGTCGAATGTCGGTGCAAGTGTTTCTTCGTCTCGCACAAAGGCAAGAGAGGGATCCCCTGATCGGTGTTTTATCTCGGCCTTGGGCGCTGATGGAACGGGATCAGCAGTTGGGGCCATTACTTCGATGGAGCTGCGTATGCTAAAAGAGAAAGTAACTCTCAGAAAAGAAAAAATATCCGGGATCTCTGATACAACTGGTCTTTTACTAGGCTTTAAGGAAGTTTGTGAGACGAAACCCAAACAGCGTTTTGACCCGCGTTGCGTTGGCTAAATAGCATGTTGTCCGCGCCCAAGAACATTACTTGTTCACTGGCCTGATAACTCTGCGGGGCAAAATATTTCGACATTGACAAGTAGCATTGCTCATAGTAATCAACCAACTCCTAACTGTCCTCCTTTGCCGTTTTGTGGAAACATTCCGATTACCCGCGACGCGCAATTCCCCGCACTTATATCTAAGGACTATCAGCGGAGGCTGCTCACATTCTCATTAGCATCACTGTGCCTCTCTGAGAAGAATCTCTTTCTATCCCTTTCTATCGATGTCTGTCTCGGCCTCAAATTCATTATATTAGTCTTAGTCTCGGGGGTTGCGAGGGACCTTGAAATGCGCAACAATGGGATATTCGTGTGTTTAATAGTCCTGGTTGCAATGCCGATGCTGTTGCAGATAATGTTGTGGCATTCCACTTTACCAAGCGACGCAGCGTTCTTTCAACCATGCGTGTCTAGTAGACGTGTTATTGACGAGGATGGAGATACTTCAGGTGCCGGTACATGTTTTGGAAACAGAGCCTAGGGGCCTCCAAACAAGAGTCTTGTTGGGACCAGAAACCCTTGGCCTCAACTTGCCCATAACACCACACACTGGTTGGGTTGGCATAGAACCATTTACCGTAAACTTATTTGTGTCAAGGTGGAAGACTTTTTCGCCGGCACTATTGAAAAAGCTAGGTTCCTCATAAATGTCCATTAGACACAGGACTACTTCGTATACGTTTTTAACTTAGGCTTGCTTAGTCTTCACTTATACTTATGATACCCTTTATTTGTACCTAATTATTCATGGGTCCATCCACGTTTCTGGCGTTGGTTGAGAAGGAGAAGCACAATTGCGTGTAGCCGAGTATGTTTAATTCTTATATCATAATTTCTACTCTAGAATGCCTGCACATCAGTCCTAACGACCTCCTGGACGACCATCTCCAGAGTGTCCGTTTTATCTACCCCAATTTTCTCATTGTCCCTACTTTCATACAACGTCCTTCCCTCGGTCCAGATTCTCCTCAGTGTGTAAAGACTTGCAGATGGTTTCTTTTCCTCCCATGCCTGAGTCTCGTACTCCCGTAGCTTGTTTAGTGAAGTATAACCAACCGACCACTTACTCTCAGTCTGCCTTTCTATCTCCGAGAGGATAGCGTTCGGTGTAGTCGTGAATGAGTTTACTATAAGGGCCTTGTTGTCGCTAAAATCAGGATGTTTCAACGCTCCAACAAGGAGCCGGCCGACATCCGCCATAGTTGTAAGACTGATCTTCCCGTTGCCATCTCCAAGAAGCGTTGCCTCTCTATTCCCAACATCAAAGCTCCCCGCTTGCTTCTCCGCAGGTCTATAGCCCACGTACAGGTCTGCAAAAGGGCCCGTGACAAGATACGTGTACTTCAGCCTTCTGGAAGGATCGGATTCCAAGAATTCCCTAACCTTGAGCTTTTGCTGATGCGTCAACTCATTTGCTGAAGTTTCGTCATATGCAATGTCCGTGCCGTATTCCGACGGAAAGAAGCGGATTATGTTGGATGACGTTTCGGCAAGTCTTATAAGACGGATTTGCTTAGCTATGGCATTCCTGCCAACAGCTGAAACGATTGTATCAAATCCTGTATATCATGATCAGAAACCGTCTGGACCTTGGCTATCTAGATCGCACAATGCATCTTTGGACGTACCTTTGTAAGCTTCCAAGACATCATCATCATTGTCGACATCTCCCACAAAGACGTTAACCCCCCGGGATTTAAGTGCATCTATGGTTCCTGCTTTTTCCGTCGCTGTCTTCGACGAAGTGAACAGTCCGATCTTATCAAAAACACCACCGGCATTGAGCAAAGATTTTATCAATACTTTGCCGATGACCCCCGTGGCACCAAAGACCAGAATCTTCGTGCTTGGACTCGCCATTTTGTGTTGATAAAAGGAAGAGAAAAGGTTCAAATCAGCCAGGGGGTTGTACGATATCTAATAATTATGGAGCGAGCGGGGATGCAACCATTTGACCATTTGCGCAATCGGGCTGCCGCAATGGCGTGACGCTTGAACAAAAGTAAGCGGCATTTAAAAACAAGAAAATGGGAAGTATGAACAGTTTCGCTAAGGAATCTCTTTCTGAGCTGAACTCTCGATACATGCTGTCCTTCTACTTCCAGGCGGTGCAACTGACCGAGTGACGATATTATCTCGGGACGTGTCGGCCCCTCGAGGCAGGGGTCTGCAGAGAATCTCCTCAAGAGGCAAGAAACGGGTGCCTCCAAGGACGATATTTAGTAATAATACAGATGATACTTGTACATAATACCAGTCGAGGGCCACTCTGCCTTAAAAACAACGTCTCTTCTCTCTTCTTAATTGACTGCACTATACCTGTAGCAAATAACACATTATCCGATTTTAGCTTATAATTCTTCAGAATGGGTTAAATTCTCGCCGGAGTTAACATGTCGCATGCCCCAGATAGCTTGCCCCAAGGCTTTTATGTTTCCACCCTTTCGACTCTAAAAAGGTTGGCATAGCCGGCGACAACTTTCTCCCCGCACCGCTGGACTCTGGTTCTTCTGGAAACCGTGATCAATGTTCCGATGTTCTCATTCCGTCAACGACAATGGCTGGAAGCCTCGACACTGAGGTCTTCCTCAATCTTTGCCTTGACAGCAAAAAGGCTTCGAAATGCCTATGACAAAGGTCTTTTATCACTTGCGGACCTTGATGGGGACCCAGAAAAAGAGATGGAGGACGATCTAAAAAGCATCACGATCCCCAAGCTCATAATAGTCCTTGTTTAGCAAAGTAACAATATAGCTGTGGAGTACTGGACACCTAGTGCAGACAGATCAGGTCCATCACCTTCAATGAAAACCTTGAAGTTATCGGCCGCTCCAAAGTAAGAATACCTAGAAAACACAGTCACTTTCATCTAGGAAAGGTCATTCAGGAAAGGGAGGGCGGACTGGAAGAAGGCGCTTTGGTCAGCGATGCTTCCAATTATTTGGAACTAGGGAACGGTCAGTGGTCTTCCTTCGGGAAAGCTTTTGGATCGTAGGTAAGACATACTCCAGTAACAGGCGGGACGTCCTCCGACATCACAGGCGCTGTTGACTCAGTTTTGGCAAGCCTAGGACCATTGTAACAATGGACGGGAATAAAGTCGATATTGCAGTCACTGCATGCCGTCAGGAGGCTGCTGTGCCAGTCATATCTAGCATTGGAGGCAGGTAGTGCTCCCAATTCAGTATTCTCGACGAACGGCTTCATGTACATGCGCCACGCGGTGGCAGCGTCCTCTGGGAAAAGGTTTCTTTGAGAATCAATGTCAAGCTCATTGGACCCAAGAAGATGGGTGGATCCTTCATTGAGAATCCAGTTCCAGGCGTCATCGGTCCAGTGGCTTGTATGATCATCCTGGGTTCCCCAGAGCATCGGAACAAATTCTGCAAAGTCTTGCTTCTGTCTCTTCTACCTGTCCGTTGCCATTCACGTCATATATATTGAGAATATCAAGTTCGGCATGGAGACCAGATCTGCGGATCACTTGTTCAATGTGAATTGTTACTCCCCTTCTTAACCATTAAACAGGAACCCATGTGCGGCTGACCCGTCGCATAACGTACACGCAATGCGTAATACATTATATGATTAGGTCTATAGATAAGGTCTCTGGTAGTTGATTTTAAAGGATGAAAAGCTATCTATAAGTTATACAGGAAACAGGGGTCATTTCAATGCCCCTACGTCGCCAAGTAGAAGCACACGGATTGGGGCTTGTTGTGTCTTCTTGTAAGCGGTTTGTGGATGCCCATGCGGTGTCCAAAACTCTATGAAAGGAATCTAGTAGTAAAGATCCGAAGATCTTGACTCCGGGCAATCATTCCTATCAAAGTATCTTCCTATTGAAGCCATTGGCGATGCGACCCATTCAATAATACTCCATACCTGTGCTTCCAGTGGGCGACAACACACGATGACCCATAGACACAGAAATACAGCGGTCTCTACCTTCGTATACGTCTTGGGCCGGTATGTGATTGTCTAGTTGCTTCTTATGTTTAAAGAAAGGAAATCAATCTACGAGGCTATCTACGGTTGTGTGTAGCAGCAGCACCCCTGACTGCTTACTCATGCAATTTGGATGCCACATACCGTTTGGCATAGGGTAAGGCTCAAACGACATGAAGTTCCTGATCGTCTATAAACGGTTTACCTGCAGAATGCATGCGTGTATGCACGTGCGCTTTGAATCATCAATCAATCCCCATAGATGAGAGTCTTAACGGGTAAGGTTTGATCGAGAATTTGACTGCAACTAATGGTAGGAAGGCACCCGTTATCGTGATGCCGATATAGCCAGAGAGACTATTTGCATTGACGACTTAACGCGCGTTAGACGCGCTGGGTTCAGTAAATTAACAAATGGAAGTGGGGAAAGCCCGCTATTTCACGCAGAACGCGACGCAATCATCAAGCGAGCGAATATCTTCCTGGTATCGTAGTCGTCCATCTTCAGACTCTCCGCCTTTCACAGCTTTACTCAGACAGCGCGGCTGCCACCCCGAGATCGCCATCACTCAACCACCCGGTAAATCGGCATTCAAGCCACCATGTCGGACGCGAACGCGACCACTCCCCGTGTTTTCATCGCACGCCACGGTAAGACTGTCCTATACGATAGACAGATACAACTGCTAATGTAATATACTTGGCTAGGTGAAACGGCTTGGACCAAAACTGGACAGTGTACCGGCAATGCTGAAATAGAGCTGACGGAGGATGGGGAGCGACAGTCCCGTGGAACAGGCAGGATGCTTGTCGGGCCGGGGAAATTGATCGATCCCGCTAAGCTCAACCACGTGTTCTGTAGTCCGAGGAAGAGAGCAACAAAGACCCTCCATCTTCTCCTTGGCGACGAGGTCAAGGCTACGTTGGACGAGGAAAACAAGATTTCTATTACCGCTGACATCACTGAGTGGGATTACGGCTCCTACGAAGGGTTTACACCCAGCGACATCAACCGAAAGCGAGCGGAGCAAGGCAAGGCTAAGTGGAACATCTGGGTTCAAGGATGTGAAGATGGCGAGTAAGTGACGTGTTTCACTGGCGGCTGAGGTGCTGAAACAACAAATCTTGACATTTATTCTTCAGAACTCCCGAGCAGGTTCAAGGGCGTCTGGACCGACTTATAGGAAAAATCACAGAGATCCAAAAACCATTCATGAATGGCGGCGTGGCGCCTGATATTCTTTTGGTACGTATGGATATGCATGTACCGGCTAATTTTAATGTCTCACTGCCGGGGATATGCAAAGCTCATTGCTAATGAGCAGCTATCTTTCTTCAAGGTTGCACACGGGCACATACTACGCGCCTTCGTCAAAAGATGGCTGAAGTTTCCAATGGAGTTCGACTTTCCGATGATGATGGAGCCAGGTGCTGTTGGAGTCTTGAGCTATGCTCATCGAAATGTGGATGAACGCTCTATACTTGTTGGAGTGGGCCTATCGAGTACAGACTAGCTACAATATAGTTACTACTTACTGCTTCCTGGTGCACCGTACAAGTACATGATCATCATTGTGCCGTAGATATTAGACGTGGAACAATTACGAGACTGCATCGCCATGGTGCAAGTTCGAGCAGTTGGCCTCCTCGGGTAATAATAGGCCGGAGACCCCCACTCAAGGCTCCATGGTTTGTTGCGGGACTGGAGGGGGAGACTCCGCAAACTAAACGAATCTCGGGTGGCTGAAGACCCTGACAGCCGGGCGGCACTGGTTCTACCGGCTAAATTGACGGGTATTATTGAGAGACGCGGGGAGGATGCAAGTCTATTCGTACATGTTCACATTCATATGAATTGGTATAAAGTTTTCTGGCATATTTAGCTAGTGAGCCCGTTTCTAAATGTTGGTGAATTGTCCTCTTCCTCCCTTCGTGAATTATTTTCCAAGTCTGCACCTAGACCAACTCCACGTCTCCGGCCATGCCTATTGTCCGTAATCCAATTCTCCCCGGCTTCAATGCCGATCCCTCCATTGTTAGAGTGAAGGATGACTACTACATCGCTACATCGACCTTTGAGTGGTGGCCTGGCGTACAAATCCATCACTCCCGAGACCTCGCCAATTGGGAGCTCATTGTTCGGCCTTTGACCAGAAAGAGCCAGGCCGATCTGCGAGGCAACCCTGACAGCTGCAGCATCTGGGCCCCATGCCTGTCCCACGACGGTGACAGGTTCTGGCTTGTCTACACGGACGTCAAGCGCAAAGACGGATCTTTCAAAGACTGCCACAACTACATAATCCATGCCCCTGCCATCGAGGGCCCCTGGTCGGACCCCATATATGCGAACTCATCCGGATTCGACCCGTCCCTCTTCCACGATGATGATGGCCGCAAGTGGTTTGTGAATATGATGTGGGACCACCGTCGCCGACCACTCACCTTTGCGGGCATCGTTCTACAAGAATTCGATGCCGCAGCTGGAAAGCTCGTTGGGCCTCGCAAGAATGTCTTCCAGGGGACCGACCTCGAGCTTGTAGAGGGACCACATCTTTACAAGCGCAATGGATGGTACTACCTCCTGACGGCCGAAGGTGGCACTGGGTATGACCACGCTTGTACTCTGGCTCGTTCCCGCGATAAATGGGGACCCTACGAACTTCACCCTCAAAAGTACGTTGTCACCTCCAAAGACACGCCACTGGCAGCTATTCAGCGGGCTGGCCACGGTGACATTGTGGAGACACCGGAGGGAAAGACATACCTTGTCCACCTTATGGGCCGCCCCATCGGTCAGGTCAGACGTTGTGTTCTTGGGAGGGAGACTTCCATACAGGAGGCATACTGGGGGGAGGATGACTGGCTCTACGTCAAAAACGGCCCCGTCCCATCACTGTACGTCGAAGTCCCCGGTACTTTTGACGACAAGCTGTACTGGGAGCGAAAGCATTATACCTTCGAACATGGCCTTCACAAGGACTTTCAATGGCTTCGCACACCAGAGCCTGATCGCATCTTTTCTACTGCAGACGGGAACCTTACCCTATTTGGGAGGGAGTCTATTGGGTCGTGGTTTGAACAGGCACTTGTGGCAAGGCGGCAGACGCATTTCTCCTTTGATGCCGAGACGTCCATCGAATTCGAGCCCGAGGATGAGCGCCAGTTTGCAGGCCTGACAGTATACTACAGTCGCTATAACTTCTTTTACCTGACGGTGACAGCGCACTCCGATGGACAGCGGGAACTCCTATTGATGAACTCGGAAATGTCTTATCCAGTGAGTGCACTGAGCGACACATCGGCTTACACAATCCAGATCCCCAACCAAGGCAAAGTAAGACTAGCCGCTACAGTGCGGGGACGTGCCTTGCAGTTTTACTACAGCCTCGGGGGTGATCTCAAAGCGGTTGGGCCGGTGCTGGACGCTTCCATCGTGTCGGACGAGTGCGGAGGGCACCAGGAACACGGAAGCTTTACCGGCTCATTTATCGGTGTCGCTTGTTCTGATTTGAATGGCCTATCCAAGCCAGCCACATTCGACTATTTCACATACACGCCAGTATCTCATGAGTCGGATCGATATGATGCGTGATAGTTTTACAATCTCCATGGCCGGGGTTTGACTGTGCACTGTGGATGAAGACGTTCATTGTAGTTAGAAAATAGCCCCCTATTTTTTTGGCATCCGTATAAATACAGTTTGGTCCATCGCTCGGAAATGCTCTCGTATATGGACGTGTACGCATTCTCTATCACTCTTCTCATGGAACTAATCTTATCTTAGACGTCGGATAGTTTCACCCAATAATCATGGAACATATCTTGTACGTGCCTCTCGCACTTTCGTTAGGGATTTCCTTGTTGGGTAATCTTAGTCGGAACATGTAACTTTGTGAACGTCACATGTCAGTTCGATCTGTGGTCTCATAGTAATCATCAACCCAGCATCCGTAAATCATCTCAAGTGCAGGAATAACAAGGAACAGTGCTATATTTGAGCAAACTTTGCTCGAAAAAGGCGACGGCATCTGGTCTCGTCCTGTTGATTAATCTGCATTTCCCATTTTACGTCTCCATTTGGCACCGTTATCATGAACGTTTTACTCCTTGCCGGTGCGTTGTTACTCGCCAGCTTCGCATACATACTGTATTGTTTTCTAGGTGGCAGGGTCCGCAATCAACTGAATGTGCCCAAGAAGCCGACGACACGCAAGAATTCTTTTCCGGCGGAATACGCCAACATCCTGCCCCCGTCCCAGAGGTTCGTGCTCGGGCAACTATGGACGACATATAAAGAAGCCCCAGCCTCGTCCGAGGTGTTATCATCGCTCCTCTCAATTGGCAGCGACTACCAGCTCGCCGACGGCTCTAAATTTGTCTACAGCGGCTTCTCTGTTAGTGAAATAAGGGCCCTAGGTGACTTTCCAGACTACGCCAAGCTATCGGGCGTACCATTACCCACGCCGGTGCCTGACTTCAAAGTTGATGCTGCGTTCCCTCGGCCATATAGGCCTTTTCGATGGAACTACCACCAAACCATGGGTAAGCCAGATACCACACGTATGTGCTATAGTTTTCGGTTTGTTCTGACAAGATTGTGTCCATCTGTTTTGTTGCGTTTCCTTAGCATACTTTAAGCTTGATACAGATTATTGGCTTGAGTTAGAGAGTACATACCGTCAACGAGTCCTACAACGCCAAGAGCTTTACGCAAAACATGGTCAAGATGTGTTGAGGGCTCTACCCGGGTCTGAGCTCGCCTGCAAGGAGCTGATGGAGATGGTCCTTCAATTTCTATGCACACGTTACCCACACCTATTTCAAGTGAAGGACAAGAGGACCTTGGTCAACAACATTCTAGGAACCACACACGATCTGACAAAATCTGAGCCATTGCATGTACTTCTAAACAATGTGCCCGAAGATTTTGCGCTTGTTCTCCGGGATGAGAAAACAGGACGCTATGTTTTCAGGGCAGGCATTATTTGCTCGTCCGTAGGGTGGCACCTTGGGCACAAGATTGGACTAGATATGGCTTCTATCCACGCCCCGGTACCTGATTTCAAGGAGAAGCTCGCCTTTAGCCTGGACCGGTAAGGCGGACTGTGCTTCTTTCTCCAGATATCGGAGGCAAAATATGCTAATAGGCCATCTTTGAAGGTTCTTTACCAAGATGCAGACATCTCAACCAATCCAGCGGGGCTCTTGGGGTCTCGAAGTGGGACAGCCCCTGTTTCTCCCCGCGGAGCATCCTCAGTTTGTTCATAGGAACAACCAGAATGCAAACCTACGCGCCGAAGACATCAATCTGCGCGTTGACTGGCAGACACTTCGACGCCTACCGCTCTCCGGTGCCATCGTGTTCAACTTTCGCGCTTTGTTCACCCCACTCCCGGAGTTTCGTGACGAGCCGTACGTGCCGTCTCTACTCCTCAAGATTCTGGATGAGGGCAAGAGAAATCTGATGGATTACAAGGGGACATGGCATGTTGAACACATTGCTAAGCCTGCATTGCACGAGTACGAGAAATTCCAGGTTTCCCAAGGGCTTGTGGAGCCAGAGTGGGAGCCACGGACCTTGGATGAGACACCGTTTTACCCTGGCTGGAAGGAGAAGTGGACCACGACGGGATTGGTGGATACGCGTCGATGCAAATCATGACGAAGTCGGTAAGGTTAATTGCATCCCTGTAATTATCAGGAAGGAACACACATGAAGCACGTGCTGTGCATGCCGTTGAGATGGTACTTGTGGTAACTAGCGAGGATATGTAGTGAAGGTGACCAGATTCCTGAACTATACGGCGTGTTGAGCCATCAAATCGTTACCGGCGCGGTTATGACACCTGCACCCGCCTTGAGCTCACTCCTGCCATTCGGCTTCGATTACAGCGTAGAATCCTAATGGGTTAGCGTCAACCCTTATAATGGCGAGACGGTCATCAACGGCTTCGAAAAGACCAGTCCAGGTCTTGACAAGTCTCTCTTCCGTATTGAACATTGCTAGCATCCTCAAGTCGGTTGACGTGCCCATCTGTTGAATGGAGAGAGGAAGGTCGTCGGGAGTCTCCTGTTTGCTGACGTAGTCCACAAACAAGATTTTAGCGCCTTTTCGCATACTGGGAACGAGAGCTCGGAGAATTTTGAGACATTCGGCATCGGGCCAGTCGTGAAGAGTCAGCTTGATAAGGTAGATGTCAGCCTGGACTGGCTGGGGTTCGAAAAAGTTGTGGGCCATGAACGTGACGCGGTCCTTGAGTTCGGCGGGTGTGTTCGCATCAAAGGCCAGGCGAGCCTCGGGAAGGTCTTGCACAGTGATGTTCAGATTGGGGAATTTTCTCGCCAAGGCGACGCTGTCATGTCCACCGGATCCACCAAGCTGATATTATCGTCAGCCTGGCATTTGCTATCAACATGGGGGAATAAACGTTTCACTTACATCAACCACCTTGATCTCGCCTGCACCTTGCCAGTCGTACACAGCTTGGACGACATCCTCAAAATGGAAGACGTCTTTGATGTAGCTCATAAAGTCGGCAAAGCTTCTCTGTCTCCAGCCCTTGCTCTCACCCTCTCCGTCATTCTCGATGAAGTCCCAGGGGCTGGTGTACTTTTTGCCGCCGAAAAGGGTACCGCTGTGGAGAAGAGAGAAGGCGGTTACATCCATACCAGATGAAAGTTCAGACTTGTCAAAGGCATGAAGGCGCAGTGTCTGATTCATGATGGTCATAGGAGGTCCAACCTCTTCCAATAGTGTCGTCACTGCAGCCCGAAGCCCAGATTCCTTGGTCAGCGCTGCCGAGCGACTGGTGTGCTTGACACCCCTGGGGCCTGCCTTAGAAAACAGGCGCAACGTCACAGCGTGCTCTAGTACTCGACGAACGACCTCGATGGGAAGCTTTGTGTACTTGGAAATCTCCTCGTATGAGGCCGAATGATCTAAAGGCACAGCAAACCAAAAGTGGAAGTGATTCAGAATGCTCAAACAGGCTTGATCGGGCATAACCTTTGTAGCGATTGGTCAGCATCAAAGGTCCCGCATCAATGAAGGGGGGTTAAGGGGTTGAATCTTTAACATCATTTTTTTTTAAACAGAAAAGGCAGGAAAAGAGATAGAAGAGAAGTAGTGGAGGAGAATAAGGAACTACCGAGTTACATTATGGCAATAGTTGACGATGCTCTCACTAGGTCCCTGAACGAGGACCGATAGGTCGTTGATGGAGTCAATGAGATGTTGTCGGAGTACGAGCGTCTCCCCCGTGAGGTCGCTATATCTAGTAGGGCTATCTGGACTGAGGGTAGGCTGCTGGATACCGTCATTGGCGAGTACTTGACTGAACTGACGAGTGAGATCTGAGACTCTTTCCGCAATATCGTTGAGGGTAAGGTTTGGCTGGGCCATGGTTGAAGGGGTATGGTGATGGTGATATGAATGATACGCGAGGAGCGAGGATGAAGGGGATGGGGGAGATGGAAGAGGGAGAGTATTAAATAAAGTGAAATAATGGTGCGGAGGGAGTACACCTTAAAAACAACTCTATTTTTGACGTAACGAATACTGCAGTGAACTGGACAGGGATTGTTTGTTACATCCGCTCAATGGAGAAGGTCGGGATACATGCAGTAATATTGACACTCACAATCAACAGCTTATTGAATTTCTCTTATCAATCTGATAAGAACAGGTCATAAGATCTTCACGAGCCAATTTCTTGGGGCTACATGGTTGGCTTTTGTGCCACTTGAACGGGGGCGGAGAGGGAGAGAGGAGGGGGGGGGCATAGTTGCACCATGGATGGCCGGGATTTGGGCATGCGTGTGGCAACGACCGTGGGATTATCAATCCATATACGGAGAGGTAAAGCCCCCTCATATCTAAGAAAGACTACCCTGTCGCGTCCTGAATGCGGAGAGACGCTGCATACCCGATGATGGAGAGTCTGACTGGCGAGGAAGATGCGTACCGTACCACCCGGTATCATGATGATGCCACGTGTACGGTAGGCTCAGCTCGCCCGATAAACGGCGACTACAAGTTCTAGACCAGCAGCAGACTGATTCCCTCACCGACGCCTTATTCAATAGTGCATGCTGTCCGGGCTCTCTGCCTCCTAATCCTTTCCTAGAGCACCCCTCACTATAGATACTACGCAAGCCGAGTCCTGACACGGTCGGAACCGAGCTGGGGTGTAGTATCCCGGCCTATCCATCGATCATAGAGACATGGATTTGGGGTGGTGGGAAGAGTTCGACGGCCTCTGGAAAGATCCGGTCGAGGTGGTTCATGTTTTCCGCCTGTCTCTTCGATAAGTTGTGTGAATTGAAGGGTCGTACAGTAGGCTCTTGCCACTTCCATCCACCGTCTATCACTCTTTGCAACGCTACATGGTACGTTGTGACTTGAGATCTGTGAGTGTTTCTCTTACCTTTTGATCCTTCCTATGTTGTTGTTGTTGTTGTTGTTGTTGTTGTTGTTGTTGTTGTTATCATCTTTAAAAATCCCCGCCTGTCCTAGTGTTGGAAAGCCTTTCCCGAGGGCTGAGTATAGTGCAGTAGGTAATAGACACGAGACGGACTTTGGATTTCACGGAGCCTGCTATACTAATATATCTACGGAATACGGAGTAATACGTCGTAATAGTTGTAAACGCACCGAGGCATTATTTTTTATATTAGAGCAGTTGTGCCATTCATTCTCCGCATTTTAGGTCCTTTTTGCTCATTTTGAGGTGGAGCCAGACCTCGAGGAGGCTGGCCTCGTATTGCGTATCGGACGCATCGATCCAACGCACAGTAGTGCTCGTAATTGGTCAAGATACGCGGGCCATAGCTGCCAAGCAGTCAAGTGCCTGCAGGGTATACCCATACGACTAATATTTGGGGTGGCTCAAAGACCTCAAGAGAACGGGAAAAGCTATGTGCATTGATAATGTTCAGGTGAGGAAGCTGGACGGAAAAAAAAAGGGTGTGGCTGCAGCCACCTGATCTGGGAGGCTAACCCACTAAGAGCAACGGAGTAAAACTAGCACAAGTAAAGTTTCACAGTCGTGGATAGATGAGCAATACGACGGCGTACGAGTACGAGACATCTACGAGTAGATTGTTCAAAAGAGGGGTTGATAAACGGTGGAGGGTGTACTTGTTCAGAAATTATACTAAAGACGAGCGATGCGACGTTTTAATACCTGTACTATTCGTAGAGTGTTTTAGGGGGGGGGGGTTGATAACATATTTGTAGGGGAGTAATCAGGCGCTACAGGTCTTTGCTGCATGTCGTCTGCCCTCTACACTATCAAAACATGCAATCACCAGAGACATGTTCATACTCTCTCTCTTGCTTTGATCTAGACGCGCTGTCCACCTTTCTTCCAATTTCCTCCATCACTGAGTCTTGCCTACTTGTTTGCGGGGTGTGGTCGTGACGCACCCTACGTGGGCCGGCGTGGTGCAATCTGCTCCGCACGTTCGGCCTTCTTCCCGAAAAAAATGGGCTAGAGCCTAGAACTCAGGGGACCCGGTGGAGTCGCGGTTCATTCTGGAGCCAGGGTCTGAGCCACTGTCGTCGCTGAGTCAAATGGACGGTGCCACATTGTGAGACAAATCGAAATCCGCCGTCTATCAACGTCGGGTGAAGCCAAGCGATGTGTAGATTTCGAAACCAGGGGATCTGGAAACACAAGGCCAATGCCAATCGTCACTTCATTCACGCCTGCTCGATCGTTGACTCCACGCAGTCTGACGTTGCAGGGGTTTCATGGGAATACAACGCTACCATTGGGCCAAACGTTGTTCGTGTTCGGCATCTGTTCGCGTTTCAACGTGTCCAGGCAATGCCAGGCACTGAAGCCCACTGATGAAACTTCACACTGGGCCGAGCGCCTCAGTCGCTGTCAGATGGTTGGCTTACCGTTTCATGGAAGGATTGAAACCGGTGGGAAATGGACAGCAGATGACGGGCCAAAGGTCATTGTCACTCTCCCGGATGCGAATATATCGATTAGCGTTCAGGAGTTTATAATGTCAGCCATTTCCGCCGTCCAGCTACGAGCATCATTGCATGCCACTGGCCTGGTACGATCCCTACATCCAACTTCACGTTCTTTTTTTTTTTTAAATAAAAAAAAACTAAAAAAAAAAACACCAACGACTATCCTTCACGTTTGATGGGATAACATCAGCGACATCGATACCGACCCAAGAAACATTCATTACAGCCATTCCCGACTCAGACCAACCGAGCAAGATGGGATTCCTACCTTTCTTCGCGATGGCGGTCTCGCTGCTGGCCAGCTTGACCGCTGCGGCGACCATCCCGGCCAACAGCAGCGGGGCCAGCATCATCCAGCAAATCGCCCCAGCCTCAGCGAGCTGTGCCGCTGGCAACACAGAGTGCCGTACGGCGAAGCAAGCAGCGCCGTATATCTTCCAGAGCTTCGCCAAGTATGGCCTCGACAGCGCCAACCAAAAGGCAGCTGTCATTTCTCTCATGGCATACGAATCCGACAACTTTGTCTACAAGACCAACCAGTACCCCGGACGACCCGGCCAAGGCACAGCCAACATGCAGATGGCCAGCTTTAACCTCATGTACGCCAAGTCCATCAAGGCTACGAGCGGTGCCGTTGCCGAAGTGTCGTCGGTCGACGGCCTGTCGGACACGGAGCTTGACTATATCATCGGCCTTGTCACGGTGGACAAGTACAATTTTGGCAGCGGCGCCTGGTTCCTCAAGACGCAGTGCGGGAACGACGTCATGTCACAGCTGGCCAGTGATGTCGATCAGGGTTTTCAGGCCTACATGTCGTGCGTCGGCGTGGAGGCCAGCAGTGATCGTCTGGAGTACCTAGACAGGGCCAAGACGGCATTTGGCATCTAAAGTGGAACATTCCTCGCCAGTATAAGGGAATAGGGTGGGCGCAGAAAATATGTATTACATATGTACATATATATATATGTACATATGTAATAATATAATATCTATTTATTTATATACGTGTATCTATCGAAAACCGCTCATCGTCATCAACTTGGACGTCAATAATGTTGCGGTAAAGAGTCATGATCCGTTGCAGTTACATGGAAGAAACAGAAATTGAAGGACATCTCCATTGGCTGCGGTGTGGGTTTTCATGTGTCTTATCTGGGGAAAATTCCAATGGCTTATCTTCGTCCACTGGCGGTGCCATTTCCTATCGCAGAATGGATTCTGCCCCATTGCCCCCATTGCCTTTCTTCTATTACTCGTGCGATTTTGTTCCATCTTACTCCCGCAACTACGATCGGACCATTCATACCGATACTTTTTCGTTCCACACATCATGTATCCTGTTTCTGAACACCTTCCAGAATCCATGCAACTACATTAAGAATTTGAAGCAACAGACGATTTGCTGTGCATTCGACTGTCTACCCTAAAGGGGCACACCCACGATTGCTCGTATCCGCCGTACACTGAGTCCGTAAGTAGAACTGGTCGGCCAGAGCTCCACCCTCTCTCTTCCACCGCTAACCTGCTTCAAAAAAGACGAGGATAGTCTTATGCCGGGGATCAGATCTCGGTTGGGATGCGAAGAGTGTAGACGGCGGAGGAGGAAGTGTGACGAATCGAAGCCCATCTGCAGCCAGTGCTCGACTTTCAACCGCACATGCAACTACTCATTACGCTTAATCTGGGGCGGGCGGAAACCGAGAGCACCGCAATCAGTGTCGCAGAAACATCGTCAGCAAACCCCGACCAGCCGGCTGTCCAGTGAAAGCTGTTTTGCTCTGAAGCGATCCATTGACACTTCCGGCATTTCCGATGCGCCCGAATTCGACCATGCCCGTGAGCTATCAGTCTATGGCTCCATCGTCGATGCCTCGGGCGCTGGCGGCCTGATGGGGCCCTTGCCCCGATCGCTTCCAAACGGTGTGCCTCTTGGACCGCGATATCACAGGCTTCTGACCTACTTCACCGATAACATACTGGCATCTCTTTCGTGTCACCCGTCCATACACTATGAGCTCTGTCAAGGCCTAGTTCCTGCCACGCTCCAATCCCCTCAACTCTTGTCAGCTTGTCTCGCCTTATCGGCAGCAGGCTTCTCGTCTCGAGGACTCTCATACGTTGACGGCATCGACGTGAACCGGATTCTCGGACATCTCCAATCTTCCGGCCTCCCGCTTCTACGGACAGCACTGGATAGCGGGCAGATGGACGAGACGGTGCTGGCCACATGCGTCATCTGGTGTCTCACAGATGTATTCACCTACCGCCAAGGCGAATCCTCCTGGCGTATACATCTCCAAGGCATCAAAGCTATCCTCGACAGCAACCAGGCACATCGACACTTCATCTCCGGCACCGGGTCCACGCAAGTGGCCATGCGGCACCTGTATCAGCTTTACATCTCGCTGCAGACGCTACCGTACATACCGTCTCTGCCGGACCCAGAAACGCCCGTGTACAAGGGGCTATCTGATCCTAGCAAGATGGACGTGCTCTCATTATCGCCTTCGGACACCAAGATCGATGGCTTCCTTGGCTACAGCGAGGAACTGCTGCATATACTGCAGCGAATCGATCACCTCTCAAGCTTGGACGACCAGGATTCATCGGCTGTCAACTGCGAGGCTGATATTCTCCTCGGCAAGGTCAAGGGTATGATTCAGCGAGACTCCGAGATCTCTCCCACCGTCTCCATATGTGCTTCCCTGTCACCCGAAGACACCCACGAGTTCACTCTCTGCCACAGAACCTTCCAGCAGGCCACCCTGATCCACCTGTACCGGCGGCTATACCACCTTCCATCTCGCGCTAAGCCTCTCCAGACCGCGATTGAGTCTATCAAGGAGATGATGAATTTCATGGTCCAGGGTCAGCCCTGTCACACGTGGGTCGCCATGGCCATGCCCCTCTTCACCATTGGCTGCGAGGCCTTTACCGACGACCAAGAGGAATTCGTCATGGACAAGGTGAACAAGCTGGAGGAGTGCATCGGCTCACTCCATGTAAAAATCATCCGCCAAGCCCTCGAGGATATATGGGAAGTCAGGAAAAGAATGGGCGACTTGGAGGGAAATATCTGTGCCAGTCAATTGCTTGGTATGTTATTCTGCATCACGGCCTCTTTCTTCTCCAATACTTCCTCTCCTTTCTCTCTTCTCCTTTTTTTTTCGTCGTTCATCGACAGCAATACTGATCAATCTCTGTAACAGCTGAACTGCGGTACAATATTATTCTCTTTTAGCCACAAGTAAAGCGATTCTTCCTCTTTTTTTTTTTTCTTTTTTTTATTAACAACGCTCTTTAAATGTAACGCATAAGACTTTACGTACAGGGTTCAGCTCTCTTTCCTATCTACGGTGCACGCACATGGTTATGGATAACTATGGGCAGTCACAATAGCGTTTATGAACTAGACTCTTCCCAATATTTGAACCAATTTCACGACTTTCATTTCTGGTATACACGTTAATAAAAAAAGTTTGACATCACCAACCACCCATTTCATCATTTCACCCGCCACAAACGCCCGTTTCATCATTGCACCATTCCATCTCCCCACAAACGCCTGGTTACTCCATTGTCTATACTCTGCAGTTGAATAGAGTTTTTTCTTTTCGTCAGAAATCTCTTACAGCTCACTGCCGTTGCCCTTTTGGCCGATCATGTTGCTGAGGGGACCCTTCTTGACCATGATACTCATGACCTCGTAGAGAACGTCAGCGGCAGCCATGGTGGTGTGCTCGGCGTTGGTGTCATAGGCAGGCTAGATATCAACGTTAGCCAAAAAGAAAAATACTCGCATGTGTTGGATAGAGGGGACTTGGTAAGACGTACGGCAACCTCGACGATGTCGGCGCCGATGAAGTTGAGGTCCTCGAGACCACGGATGATGGTGCGGAGCTCACGGGTAGACCAGCCACCAGTCTCGGGAGTACCGGTAGCAGGAGCAAAGGCAGGATCAAGGGTGTCAATGTCGATAGAGAGATATACGGGGCGCTCGGTGCCCACACGCTCGATAATTTTCTTGATGATACCCTGGACACCAATGGTGTCAATCTCACGAGCCTCGACGATCTCGAAGCCGACGTAGCCGTCGTTGTCGTAGTCGCTGGGTCCACTAAGGGTGGTGCGGATGCCGGCGTGGATGTTGGTGTCGTTGACGAGGAGACCCTCCATGGCGGCGTGGTAGAAATAGGTTCCGTGGTTGACGGCGGCAACCTCAGAGGGAGATCCGCCAAAGACCTTGGGCTTCCCTGCAGATTCAGATATCAACGTTTAGCTAACTGGTTCAACACACGGTGGTAAGAATACGATAGCTTGGACTTACAGGTGTCGAGATGGCTGTCAAAGTGGATGACCGTGACGGGACCGTAGGCGCGGTTGACGGACCTCAGCAGGGGAAGGGTGATGGTGTGGTCACCACCGAGAGTGATGACGCGGGGGAGAGTCTTGCCCTTGATGGCAGGGCCGCGCTTGTCGGCATCAGTGGAGGGCGAGCGTCCCAGGATGTTGAAGTGTCCCTCCTCAATCTGGGTGAGAGCCCACGTGTTGTCATACCTGGAGTTCAGCTGTCAGCGGCGCGTTTGCGGATGCGAGTAGCTCGACCGATGCACTTACGAGGTGACGGGGATATCGCCACAGTCAAGAACTTTGGCCCAGCTGTTGAAAGGGTTTGTCTCTAGGGGGACATTGTATCCGCCGCTGTTGTTCTCGGTCAGTGAGGTGCCGAGACGCAAGGCCTCGTAAGGATATTGGACTTACTAGAGGTTCAGGCGGCGGGATCCCTGGCGGATACCAGAAGGTCCAAAACGAGCACCGGGACGGTAGGAGGTTCCGGTGTCAAAGGGAGCACCTAGAATCGGAACACCTTAGCTCCATGGACTAGCCACATAGCTTGAGGGATGTAGTAGTGTCTTACCGATAAAGGCAATATCGTACTCGATGTTCGGGTTGCCGAGGCACTCGCGGTAGGGAAGGCGGCCGAATGTGGTGATTCCAGAGAAGACGGAGTCGGCCTGGAGTAGCAAAAGTTAGTACTTTGGTGATGCTGCGCAAGACGAGGTGTGTGTGTGTGTGTGTGTGTGTGGTTACTGACCTGCTTGCCGCCGTCACCAGGGAGAGTGTTGTACCAGACAGACTCGTGAGGGCCAGTCATGGGGACTTGGTCATGGCCTGCATGAGCAGAGACGATGGCAGCCATGGCCAGAGTGAGGACGGAAGTAATCATGATGACGGATGTGTGTGATACAGAATCCAAAGGGAAGTTAGAGAGGAGAGTCTTCGTTCACTGGTTCCTAAAAGAGAAGGGGCGGGGAGGGCGCACTTTAATACACGGACTGGACAACTACACACTCGATCACCACTAATTGTACGACGTCTTGACAGAAACCATAACGTCGCCATGTCAATTGGCCCGGAGACATAGACGCGGGGCCAGACGCTCCCTTCCCCGGGAAGTGGTGCTGCAGCTTCTGAAAGAGGACGCATCCGTGCGTCATATCGTGCCATTGGGGCGCGTAAATAACCAATATCAGTCTAGATCATGTTCACATACTGACAAATTCAGCCCAGAGGCCTCGCGATATCGCATTTTGTCCATGAGTCGTTGCGGGGGACATCGAGAGGACGAAAGACGGTTCCAATTATCGTGGCTAAATTACCCGAATAGGAAATACAACCACCCCGCCATCGATGCTGTTGGGGCGCCGCCGTGCTTCGAAGTGGCAACATTTCCACAAACCACAAAGTTTACGTAGAACCGGTAGATCGGACCTCTTCCTGTCCTGAGGCATTTTCATTTGTGCAACTTTTGATGGAGTCGTCCAGGCATTGGTTCCACGTTGCGGCTGGTTGACCGCCCCTCCGCTCCTCTTGATAAGGCATCGACGCGTCGGAACAATCGGGTGTGGGGGCGGTTCTTTTTCGCTCTAGTTTGGGGCCATTGATCAATTGAGTCGTATGAACTGAAGAATGCGGAAAGAAAGGGTCCAAGAAGGAAAAGAAAAAAATGGAAAAAAAAAGAAGAGGAAGAGAAGGTTACCGTTGTACAGGTGGGGATTCCAATTGCTCGAGAATGACATGATACTTGATGTTGTCTTGCCCGCCCTTGGTCCGATGTTGTTTCTTTCTGTCCCATCTTCCCATCGCTACGTCTTCTTCTCCTTTTTAGCTCGCGGGTGAGCTCGTGTCGACTTTTCGCAACCCAGACACCGCACAATGGAAGAATCAAGACACCACCTGCCCCCAGACATGGCCGATCAAGAGCAGTACGCCGACGAGACTTCCCCTCTTCTCGGTAACGGCGATGGCCAGCCATCCTGTCGCACAGAATATGTCGAATGGCTCTTGGAAATGTGGTTTCTGGCAAGGGCATCGGTACCAGTCATCCTCGCCTACATGCTGCAAAACAGCCTGCAGACCGTGTCGGTACTGGTCGTGGGTCGCCTATCGTCCGAGGCCCTAGCTGTCGCCGCCTTCTCGTACATGTTTGCTATGGCGACGGCGTGGCTCATCGCCCTCGGCGGAACCAGTGCCCTCGACACGCTCGCATCGAGCAGCTACACAGCATCTAAAAACAAGAGCAGTCTTGGCATCATCCTGCAGCGCGGCATCATTGTTCTGACAGCATTCTACGCCGTCGTAGTCGTCATCTGGGCATTCTCGGAGAACCTGTTCCGCGCTCTAGGTCAGCCCGAGTCGATTTGCGTCCAGAGCTCAAAGTTCCTCCAGCTTCTGTCGCCGGGCGGTCTCGGGTATGTCTGGTTCGAGTGCATGAAGAAGTTTCTCCAGGCCCAGGGCATATACCGACCGGGGACGTACGCCCTCATGATCACATCGCCTCTGAACGCCGTTCTCAACTACCTCTTCATCTATACCTTCGGATTTGGCCTCTATGGTGCTCCAATTGCCACGGGTATCTCATACTGGCTGTCGTTCTTGCTCTTGGTAGCGTACACTGCCTTCATCAAGGGCAAGGAGTGCTGGGGAGGTCTCGATGTCCGACGCGCCCTCACCAACACTGGGCCCTTTGCCAAGCTTGCTCTTCTGGGAGTTGTCCACGTCGGCACCGAGTGGTGGGCCTTCGAGATCGTCGCTCTTGCTGCCGGTCGTCTCGGTACATTGCCGCTAGCTGCACAGTCGGTTGTCATGACGGCCGACCAAATCATCAACACCATACCCTTTGGGCTTGGCGTAGCTGAGTCTGCCAGACTCGGAAACCTGTTGGGTGCCAAGGACTCGGCTGGTGCGAGGCGGTCTGCTCACTGTGCGGCCGTGCTCTCCGTCATCTTCGGAACGGTCATCCTCACCATTCTGCTCGCCACGAGGAACGTCATCGGCGGTCTCTTCAACAGCGACAAGCGTGTCATTGCCCTCGTAGCAGACATCATCCCTTACGTCGCCCTCTTCCAGATCGCCGACGGACTCAACGGTAGCTGCGGCGGTGCCCTGAGAGGTATGGGCCGCCAGTGGGTGGGCGCCTTGGTGAACTGTATAAGCTATTACGGAGGTGCACTTCCCGGAGGCATCTACCTCGCCTTTCACGGATGGGGTCTCGCCGGTCTGTGGATGGGTCAGTGCGTGGCGCTCTTCCTCGTCGGAATCTTGGAGTGGGTTATCGTCGGTGTAAGCAACTGGGAGGGCGAGGTCACCAAGGCGGCGGAGAGGTTGGATGACGAGGCCGATGGCGAGCAGACTCCTGCTCTCCTGGGACTACAAGAATAAGAATGAATGAAAATGGCGCAGGGTAGAGGGGCGTGCTCGTCTACCCCAGACAGAGAATAGGCATGGTTAATTTACGTCAGCTGCTCTTATTACGACTATTATCAGCAGGGAGGAACCCCCTTTCGAGACCAGGGGGGTTTGTGGGATCGACTATGGGGATCACGTATACTGAGTAGTCAGTGAAACTTGGAGTGATCTATTAATGGTAATGCTGATTTGAGGAACAGGTAAATAAGCCAAGACGCCTTGTGATCGGTGATGCGAATACCCGCCAACAGGAAGCCATCGACAGCATCTCTGAATATTACGAGTATTACATGCAATTAACGTGCGTTCGAAACTCTCACGTATATTGAGCAGCTCATCATGGTAGACCACTCACATGAGCGTTGACTGGTGCTCGTAAGAGGATTCGAAGGATATTTGGGGGCTAAACTCTACTAAGCACAGATTTACACTCAGCCCACTCCGTATTGATACGTCTCAGACAGGTGCGTCGTATCAAGTTATTCCACGCAGGCAAAAGATAAGGACAGAGATGAAGCGTCCTCCCCTTAGCTCATTAATTGGCAGACAGCCACGACGTTGGCGTTGATAAGGTGCATGTAATTGCCCAACTCGGTATAATTTCCGCCGTATCGGTACGAGTGGGGCGCCACGAGGTAGATAACGGCGTTTCGGGAGCTCTGGATGGAACGAAGTCGAGAAGCACTCGAGGGGGCGAAAAGAGAAGTCATTGTGGCAGTCGTAGATAACGATCATCCTTACGAGTACTGTTGAAATAAACGCATGGACGGCAATCAATCATCCGATTGTCAACTCGCTCATGTAAGAGGTAATATGCAGGTACATATCTGGCGGGCCACCCCATTGTTGGAAGACAAAACGTAGTTGGCAATCCAAGACTCGACTTCCATTATTTCGTTCCTAGTTATGGAGGTACAAGAGGGAAAAGGTGTGAAGGACGTGCATCCTGGCCCGGTGCAGGAGCACCATCAACAGCACATCACCGACGAAGTCATTCTCACCGAAGATGGCTTCAAGCTGTTCCCCCAGCCCGTCGTGGGCGATTCACTCGACCCGTTGAACTGGTCTTTTTCTAGAAAACACACCATCCTGGCTGTTGTCATGGCTCTGTAAGACTATCCTAGTTTACCTATTCGATCTCTCTTCCTTCTGAAAATACAAAAGAAAAAGAGAAGGAGACGGGAGAAAAAAAGAGAGAGAAAAGTTCCCACACCACTAACATGAGCAAGATACTTCATGTTCACCTACATCACGACGACGACAGTGCCATCCTTCCCGGTCATCCAGGAGAAATACGGCGCATCACTTTCACAGATTAATTGGACCGTTGCCATTCCAGCCCTGGGCCTATCCGTCGGTCCCCTTCTGTGTGCCTCCCCCGCCGACATCATCGGCCGTCGACCTATCATCATTGCGGGGACCATCATGGCTCTTGCTGCTACTATCGGAGCAGCCCTGGCGCCAGACTATTCGGGATACATGGCTGCTAGGTTCTTCCAAGGCCTGGGCGTAAGTCCTGCAGCCAATGTCGGCCTCGCCATCATCAACGACATCTTCTTCGAACACGAGCGTGGACAGAAGGTTGGGCTGTGGGTTCTGTCCATAGACCTGGGTCTTCTATTTGGCCCTCTAATCGGCGGCTTCGTCAACATCGCCGGGTACAAGTGGATACAGTGGCTCACAGCTATCATGTTTGGCGTCATTCTTATTGTCGAGGTCGTCTTCCTCCCCGAGACGCTGTACCCTCGTGACCGAATGATCACCACGGCCTCATCCAAGGGTGTGAATGTGGATGAAAAGGTCCTGGCATCGGATACAGACAACCGCGCCAATATCCCCCGGACCAAGACTCTCCCGTTTATCAACCTTGCTCCCGTTCCCGGAGTTCAGCACCCTAAACCCTATGATACCATTGTCCGCTTCGTCAAGACGTTCAAGTACGTCGTCGTCCCCATCTCCGTCATGACCTACTGCTTCGGGTGGTATTGGTGGGTCCTGTCTGTCGTCACATTACTCCCCACGGCCTATATCTCGTACACTCCTCAGATTCAGGGGTAAGTTCACTTCAGGTGCCAGAGGAGAGAACGTCGGAGCTGTTTTTGAGAGGAAGAAAGCTCACATTCCCTAGCCTCCTATACATCGGCCTCATCATCGGCACCCTCATCTCGGAAATCTTCTTCTCCGGCCGCCTGAGCGACGCTATCGTCCTGAAACTCGCAAAGAAGAACAGCAATAGCAAACAGCCCGAGATGCGTCTGTGGCTTGCTTATCCTGCTGCCATACTTACGGCTGTGGGACTGATCGTGTGGGGTATCAGTGTCAGTCGTGGGTACCACTGGATGGTTGGTCAGGTGGCTCTCGCCTTGTGTACGTTGCATCTATCTTTCCGGACTGGAATCACCGTCCTCGGATGTTTTACTGACGAGGACTTTAGTCGGCGCTGGTATTCAGATGGGCAACACGTCCATCTGCAGCTACGTTGTCGATGCCTACCCGATGCAGAGTATGGCCATGATGACATTTTACGCCGTTATGCTCAACCTTTCAGCCTTCATCGACCCCTTTTTCTGTGTTACATGGGTCGAGGATGTCGGTTTCGAGTGGACCTTTGCCGGTCACGCCATCATCACCGTGTTCTTCTGCCTACCCGTCCTGGGACTGCTGCACCGCTTTGGTCCGGCTCTGCGTATAAAGTCTGGGGATCCGACATGGGTGAATCCGGAATTCGACAAGGACACGTCCGTAGATCACTAGGTTTATTCATTGATGCTAAATGACTAGAGTGAGCACATAGAAATTGAGAGTGTATTTTTATCAAACATCGTGACTCAAACCAATACAACACGTTGTGTAAATCAAGCTAGGTATTATATCATTCTGTTTCCTGTCGCCACGGAACATTGCCACCATTACCCCATCAAGCCCTACTCATCCCACATAATTTTCATGGTGGTGGGCCAGGGCCAAAGACTTCCCCAGTCCTCCGTCATGTAGACGAAGAAACCTCCGGGACGAGGAACCTTCTTCAACATGCCCTGAAGCCCGGGAGCCCTGCGCAGGTTCTTCTTGCGGAAGACGACACGGAAAAGCTCCGTCAGAGCAACCTGACTGATCTCGCGACCAAGGCAGATGTGGGGACCATCGCCATAGTGAATGTAAGAATCGAGAGGACGCTCGGGGTTTACCCGGTCCGGCTCAGGGAAGTGCTTGGCATCCTTGGCGGCGGATACAAATGACATGAAGACGCGATCGCCAGCATTGACCTTGACCTCGCGTCCGTCGTCCTCCAATATGGTGTCATCCTTCTCAGCCTTGCGGTATAACCCAAATGTACCTGCCATGCGAATACCCTCCATAGCATAACCAAGAAGCAAGGCGTCGGACTCGGGGCTGGACTGCTTGGCCGCCACGCTGCGGATGTCCTCCAGGTACGGCTGGCCTTCTGGGGAAAGGTACCAGTCAAGAGCTTGGGCAAACTTTGAAGTATACAGGTTAGCCTGTGTGTCTCGAGCTGTCTGTGGGAACCGTTCTGCACTTACCACCTGGGCCTGATTGGGTACCATGGCTGCAGCAGTGGGGAGGATCTGGCTCCAAGCAATGTCATGGGCACTCAGTCCAGACTTTTTCAGACCTTTGGCCATGTTGACACCATATCTAGACAGTGGGTCATTTCCGCTCTTGGATGTAAAAAGACCGCTGATGCCGAACATGGTAGCCAACTTAACATTCATCTCGACGGCACCGCCAATCTTGTCAGCCGCCTCCTTGGCGGCCTGCCTCAAGGGGAAGCTCTTTGCGGGGTCAATGTCAAAGAAGATGCACGTGAAGATGACAGAAAGAGCCTGGTACAGCTCCTGCTCAGTGAATACGCCCTTGGGGTTTTCTCGAGTCTTGAGGGGGATGTTGAACATATGGGCAGCAAAATGCGTGTGCACCAGGTTTCCGACATCGCGCACAATATCGACCTGGGATTTTCCAGCAATCTTGTACCCCTTCTCGGACAGAAGATGCTCTGCGGTGGCTGAGTAGAAGGCCTTGACAGACTCTCTCCAACCATCCGTGTACAGGAGGCTATGCATATGCCTTCTCTGCTCGGAATGGAGTTTTGAATCACCAGACAGCATGAACTTGCGGCCAGAATCTCCCATGAGGAAGCCGAGGCCCTCTTGCCAGTCGACCTTGTAATTCTCCTGATTCCTGAGTACTTTCTTGGCGGCACCATAGGAGGTAATATCGGTGCGCGGAGCACTGAACTTGGGGCGGTCGAAGCTGAAGAGACCGTCGCGCTTCAAGCTTTTGAGGATTCTCTTGTTCTCCTCGGGTGTCACCATGGGATAGTGTGCATACACAGAGTCGCCCTTGAAGTGGTTGGGGAAAGCACGTATGAACAGCTTGTAGAAGACGCATCCATGGTTGATGTTAAAGTCGTACTCGACTTCCCTGAATCCCCAGTTGGTAAGGTTACCGGCATGGTAGTCGTTGGTGTAGTATCGGTCACCGCGGACCAGAGACACGGCATCAGAAAGGATAACACGAGAAATAGTGTAGGTCGGTGTGATCCCAACACCTGGAACCATGGGAGCCTTAGCCTCCTCGGCAACTATTCCGGGGTACAGCTCCACATTGTCAGGGTGCTGGTAGAGGTTGCGGAGTTGATCAGCAACGTCTGGGTCCGAGTTTATCTCCTCAAACGTGTCGTAGGCCTTCATTCCGAAGTGCTTTCTGAACTCGTTTAGACCAGCCAGGTTCCAGCGACGACCACGGATTATGCCCATCATCTCCACAGGCTTCATAACCCTCGGCACGTTGCGGGCACCAAAAGCGCCACCAGGCTGCTCGATGGCAGTAGCAAGGGCCTCCATGAGCTCGTCGTCGTCAAATCGCCCATCAAGGCCGCGTTCGAATCCGTTGAATGTGCGTTCAGCGGGGTCCTCTGGAATGGACATTTCAAACTTCTTCATCGCCATCATGAGGGTCTTGACATCCACGCTGTCGGGGTCGTAGTGGTCCTCACCAACTAGGTCGCCAAAGAACTTTTCAATCCACTTCTCGTCCATCTCCGAAATGCACGAGTGCCATCGATAGCAGAGGTTAAACTCGGCCGACACAACGTTACCCACGCCAGCCTCCGACCCTTCCTTGGTGCCGACAGCCACGCCCATTTCCTGACGAGGGTCCAAGGTCCAAGTGGTGTCAGCACGGTTGAGGTTGACAATATTCCGCACATAGTCTATGAGAGTAATGTTGATGTACAAGCCCGAGGTGACAAGTCGGGCCGTCTGGAAGATCTCCTCGTCATACTTCTTCCACACCTTTGCGGCATCTTCCTTGCTCATCTCCGGAGTTGGCTTGGGGAAGCGGCCGCCCTCATTGATATCGGCCAGGGTGGTTGCCACATGGTTGTGGAATCGGTTGAACATTATCAGAAGGATGCACACCCCCGGAGGGTTGCCAATCATGCGCTTGTCGGCAAAGGTGTCCACCTTGAGCTTGCCATCCTTGAACGTGCGGATGGAATTCTGGGCCTCCTGAGAGTTTCCGTACAGAGGAGCGAGGTCAAGGTAAGAAGAAGTGTTGTTCTTGTTCTGGTCGTGCATATCGGTCCAGAAGATGTCTTTCCAGGTATAAGTCAGCGAACCAATGTTCAAGCAGCCCCCTTCCCAGCCTACTGCTGTAGGAGAAACCTACCGTGGATAATGATGGTAGCCCAATACCACAAGATGCTGGAGACATTGTTGGAACTCTGCCGGAACCCACTGCGAGCCATGACAGCCTCGAAAACAGCTTCAGGGTCAGGCTGCGCACCAAGCTGAAGCGTCTTGGGTGCACATGATCGAGCATATTTGTGGCCACGCATACCCAGCTCAGGCATTACCGGGTTCTACATTAGACAGAGTCAGCATCAAATATCAAATACCACATGGCTTCTAGATAGTGTGAAGCTCACGTTTCCATAGCCATCCGGGTGGCGGTACTTTGACTCGGGTCCGACGTAAATCATGGGAGGGTGGTCAAGAGAGTTCCAGAGTTTGTCGATGAAGTTGTTCGTGAGAATTTCTTGGGTCTTGGAGTGATCTGGAAGACCGGAGACGAGTTGGATTGTCCTTTCCATGAGCATGGTCTTGTCGTCCTGCTGGGTCCTCCCAGACAGCTTCTCCGAGATGATGTCGACGAGGGTTCTGATGTCTAAAATAGCACGTTCGTGTCAGCAACTCTTGTCTGTCAGAGGGCTGTGGAGCACTATAGATATTATAGCGATGCTAACCATCCATGGTAATTCTTCCAAGGTCATCCCGCAGCCCAGGGCGGTTGGCAACAACAGCATAGCGCCCATCGCCCATTTCGGTGGGGAGAGGACGCTTAGATGCAGTCCGGAGAGCCTTGAACTTTTGCAAAGCAGAAGAAGGCTTCTGCTTGGTTCTGGTCATGGTTGCGAGAGGAGCAGGACGGGTTCCGTTTGACTTGGTGGCATCATTCCCACCGTTGCTGTAGACCTCGTGACCGCTGACTCTGGAGCCATTACCCTCGAGGCCTTTCTTATCACTCAATCCTTTCTGCATAGTGAAGAGAAACGGCGCGGGGTATTGTCCTGATAATCAGCGTGGAGGAAAGGATGAAATAGGGGCCAGGGGAAGAGGCAAGTCGAAATATCAACTGGGGTGAGGCGACCTTTTTCAAATACAGACACCAACACGCTGGGCTGAGAATCTGTTCATTATGTCGCACCAGTGAGCTTAAAGTAATTACCCTTGCCTCCCTCTATCTTGAGTGGCAGAGCCATGTCTCGCGTGCACATGAACGATCCTTGTTAGCCTCACACCATAGTGATGTACCGGTAGTGCAGTATTTGTAGGGCTATGATGGCCATGGGAAGGGTTCGAACTCGATCCATGGTCTCCAAAGACATCTCACCATGTACTGTGCCGTGTCTTGCCCCCATATAGACCCCGTTAAGGGCGACCAGACTAGTCATATCTCAAAGGGAGGAGAGTGCGACGTGGCGTTGTAGTCACTGGCGAGGAACCGATGAGATGATATCAGACGTGAGTCTTGGGAGTGACGTTTTTGTTTATGGCTGTTATACTGTTTCCCTCTTCTCGCCAGCTGCGTATTCTCGCGTACGCATGTGTTGGGACCCAAGGGGGACGCACCCACCTAAGCAACGATAGCTACACATTTTATATACGACTTATGGGGGAATATGTGACCGGTCGAGTGTAGGTTGCAAACCAAGATACATCGCAGGATACTCCCAATGCAAAGCACAGATGAGAGTGGGACAGAAAATCTGATCCAATATCAGTCCAGAAGACAGACCAAGGGTAGCCAAGAACGACGTTCCCCCTATGAGTGACAAGGTGCATACCCGTCTCTCCCGACCCCTCAGTCGTATGTATGCGGAAAATCACCGCCTTGCCCATCCCAGAATAAACGGTAGAGGCATCTATGGCGGAAAGGTGCCGGGACTGGTTGGCAGGGCAGTCACTTACTCCTAGTGTCACAGGGAAAGGTTTGAATCAGAGGGAAAGAGTTCTCCTCTGTTTTCTGTTTTTGATGAGCTTATTATTATACGTAGGGAACGGGGATTCAATCCCAGCTACGCAGTATTATTATTAATATCTGCCGCCAGTAATACTCCGTACCGAGATACCCATCGACGCCACAGAGGGTAAGACGGGCCGGGAACTCCACGGGGCTTCGTTGCCCTGGAACTGGAGGTCCGTGTCTTCCATCCATGATTCATCCATAGAGCGCCCCATCCTGACGGGTACATGGCCGGGATCACTGATATGCGTATGTTACAGGACACTACGGTCCGTCTACGGGTGTTGGTCTGTCCGGCAGCTAGGGGGCCGGGCCGTGGCCTAGCGGGGGGCTCTTTCATCCTTATAGCCCATGGACGCTCACGTCAATCTCCCTTCAGTCCCACTACACTGTCCCTTGCAAGACATTCATGGTGGAGAGTTTCTGCTTTTGGTATGCCTGTTAATCTTTGGGACTGGCTGTTATCAATACCTTGTACAAATATCCCATAGAACCGATTTGTAGTCGGAGACTAAATCGCCATCCACGGCCAGCACACTCACAGTAAGTACTACATGTGCATCTATCAATATCTAAAATGGAGCCATCTGTTGAGACCAAAGATGCCCACGACACTCACATGCTCAGCTCCGTCCAGCGCATGTGCCCTCTTGAAGAAGAGCAAATTTGATGCGACAGGCAATGTAATACGGTGGGATTATACGACGTGTACACGAGATCAACCAGCCTCATCAACAGCACGAAAGCGAATACCTCTCTACCTGTATGAGGATTGCTGCGGTGTCTCTCTTTCAATAACATGTTTGGTGACAGCTTTACATTGACGCCAATCGTTGCCCGTCTAGGAAGCTTTTCTTGTTTTTTCTACATCATGATTCATACCCCTCGGAGACGAACGAGGGATAGACAAGAGGGAGGCAAGCGGGTTGAAACATTCATGGCCCATTCCATCCTACTCCCTAGGCATCACCATGTCTTGCCCAGTTGCCAGTGTCCCAGACGCTGCCCTGGGGTCCTTGCAATACATTCCCTTGATCCCCAGTGCCCTTGAGATAGGTCACGCCATGTCAACGCTCAGCCCTGCAACTCTTGCTTGTCCTTCCACATGGGGATAGGCTCGATGCCATCCATTTTGCGTGCTACAGACGGTTTGGCCATTGGAATACACAACAATTTCAATGTGCTGTTGTCCAACGGTACTGGTACTCCGTATACGTCGTGCGATTCAGCCTCGTGATTGGTTTCGGGCTTCGAGCAGTCTCTGTGGTGTAAGTCCTGTCAATTCCCATGGACACACTTATACTGCCTGTAATAATATGCAATTGATCCCAAACTCCAATATTATGCAGTCTACGTCATCCCCAATGGGCATACACAATGTGCATGCGCGTAGTTTCATTGCTTTTCTTCACTCATATAGACCTGGTTTCTATTATCGTACCTCTGAACTGACCATCTATGATCATACAGGGTCTATTTTGTCCGCAAATCATGAACGTAAAAGGGCATCTTACCAGTCTCGTATACATGGCCATCTGGCCTCTCTGCATGCCGATATAGATTGTCAATCGAGTGCTGATGGAACGTGTCCGTGTGGTTACAATGAAGGACATGTTCCAATCCCGGTGGGTTGGTTAGACGAAATATGCCGTAACTGTACGTGGCGCATTAGCTTCTGTCTTACTGTCCTCTGGGGGGAACATTTCAAAAAAGACACACCTTGGTGAAAACTTTGGAGAGCACACGACGGCCACACTCTCGGGCATCATAATCTGATACCCCGCCTGAGTATGCAAGTCGCGCGAGCTCATGAAGCACGTTTGTGTCGGATGCGTATGAATCCACCCAATAACGAGAAGGTCTTCACGATCGCAATAGTCAAACATGGCTGACTCATTCTCCGTCTCGCACGTATCCGGTGTGCAAGTTTGGTCAGGGATCAGGAGGCACCGCACAAACAAGGCATTGTTGATGGGTGTGCCACAGAGTATGCCGCACATTTCTATACCAGCTCGGGTGTTTGGGGCAGCGATATCCAGGAAGGACTCCCGGATACCCCGTGGGAGAAATATAGATCGTATAGGATCCCCGTTCTCGAGATATGCACCCGGCTTAAACGTGAGGCGCTCCTTCTTGTGTGCAGCCGGTGTGAAATCGCTGGAGGTCTTGGGCGGTAGCATAGGAGCTTGGTAGTGCGGTTCTTGCTGTGCAGACGACGGGACCAGAGACTCGTAGCTCTCTAGCTGGACCTTCTGTGGGATCCGAGGCGGTCCTTGCTGGCCTTCTCGGTAAAGGCTGTATGTTGGTTCCTTGGGTGGTCTGTCCGGCTGGGGAGGCGCCGGCCCAGCCGAGTCTTGTGATTGTGATGTCGTCCCCTCGCAGGCCACCGGTTGAGATCTGGAAACTAGTGGATAGTTGTAGCTCTGGGAAACAAAATTGGATGAGTAGCCCTTTGGTCCAGAGGCACCCGAGTCCCCTTGGTTCCAGCTACCGGGTGAATCGAGATTCCTCCGAGCCATCTCCATTTGGCTCCGCAGATCAGCATCTGGACCAGCGTTTATATGGTCCCCATTCCCCACAACCAGGCTTCCATTCGACTGTGTTGCCTCATGCCTTGATGCGTGCCGGACAATGTCTCTCCTCCTGAGCTCCTTTTGGGCAAGATCAACAGCTAAGTCTTGGTGCTCTGAGGCGTCAAGTATCTTGGCGTTGCCGCTTAGTGTTGGATCTCGCGCAGCAAAGTCGGCGTAACTAAGAGAAGCGTCACTCTTCCGGGGCTCTTGTAACTTATCTGTAGGCTTCATGCGCTCCCACTCCTTGACGGACTGTTCGATTAACGGCTTCAGCTGAGCTATGTCATCAAGGACTCGGTTGACCCGCTTGGAGAGAGAGCGACACGCCTGGCGAGTCTCGGGGTCTCGGTATTGAGGATGTTTCGGTAGGCACTTCAGAACAAGAACGGAGTGGCGGTAGAGCATCACGTAAGCTCTACCATAGTCGCCGTCGGAGAGTGCAAAGTTGGCCTTGTGTTTCCATGTGAGTTTTGTGCGTCACAGAATCCTTTCCTGGGGGATTTCTTTACCTCTTGATATAGAGTTTCTGCGGTCCTCATCCAGTGTTTGAGCGATATATTTGTGTTGAAAGCGAAGTTCTCGCCTTGGGCAGCCAGTTCGGCCACCGTTGGCGGCTTCGACGGTCGCATCGATGGGCGTGCGTCCATGGCAATGTGTCTACTCGACTTGAATGGTCCTCAACCGTGTCGCAGAAGCACGGTTTCGGGAAAAAATGACAGACGTGAAGGCGGAGTATCGAGAGCGGGGGTCGATTGCATCTACTTCTTTTCGTCGGTGCCGTCTGTCGTGGACATACTGTTGTCAAGAGTTTGTCTGTCGTATTGCCTGCGGGTCGAGAAAAAAATCAAGGAGGGAAGTATAAGAAGACGCAGTCGATGAAACGCCGAAAGAACACCCAAGCTAGCTAAGATAAATTAAATCCAGCCAGAGTCTGCCCAACGCTAACAATGCCAACGCGCGTGGCTAAGGAAGAGTCGATTGCCCTAGATGCTGGTGGTCCAGAGGCTGGACGGTGCCTCGGACCTGCTTGCCTAGTACACGATCCGTAAGGAGGTGACGGCCCCTCGCTCCACAGCGGGGCTCTTTCCTTCTGGCGAGCAAAACCAGTGACGTGACCAGCCTTAATCTTATTATAAGCATATTTGGCAAGTCATGCATTTAACAGTTTTATATTCATTTATTGAAAACTCTGCAGCTATTGAGTGTCACTGTTTTTTATTGGTATCGAAAGCTAGTATTAAGTAGTATATGCATTTTGTTTAGAAAGCAGTTGACGAGAGATATTAGATATCAGTGCTTAAAGCCCTCTGCATAAACTATACGAGAATACCGGGAGTAGGAAATATGGTTGGAAGATGTGCATTCATGACTCCCAACGAATAGACTATCAGGCATCAGCGAGCAGGATGCAATGAGCAGCAATCACATCCACGGCTTGTGGAGGCCTGTCTTTTCTATATATCAATATCTATCCTATTTTCTGTCTGTTCTTCTTCGATCCTTTTTCTTGAAGAACGCCTACTGGGGACCGTCAACACCCGCGCCCGCACCCGCACCCGCAGCCTGTGCTGCAGCTTGGATCTGGATGATCTCTGCCTTTTTCTTCTCCATGCTCTGCTGCGAACTCCTGATGACGCCTTCTAGCCGCGTTCTGTGAAAATACGTTAGGCCTTCGGCCCGTGAGCAAAAAGGGGGGGGTTTAGCTCACATCTCTCCATTGATAAAGTCGAGGCGACCCTTAACAGTGCTGTTGGCTTCCATCTTGTCCTGTTTCAACAGGACCGGTCCCGTGAGCTTGTAAATAGTCTCGTCGTCACCAAGGTTCTCGAACTCCTATGGCATAGCTATCAATATGCTGTGAAACAAGGGTTTGAAGGGGGAACGACATACCTTTTGCACACCGATATTCTCCTGCCTTTGGCCTTCTAGCCTCTGTCGCGAGGCAACAGTCTCTTGAAGATCTATTCGGTTTTGTTGTCTCAGTTAGCCGGTACGTCAAGGTCGAGGTGTTTGGTCAAATCATCGGGGATTCTCACCTTGTTGGAGCTTCTGGAAGTCGTCCGACAGAGCCTCAAGGCGAGCCTGGGGATTCGTCACTGCGGCTGCCATTTTGATTTTTTTGAGACCCTTCAACTGCTATTCCGTATCGAGCAGTCTGGATATCGTGTCTCCGTTGCAGAGGTCTCCAGGTCCTTAGCTGTGGTGGTTAATGCTTTCGTTCTTGCAATGATGATTTGTTGCCCCGCCATGCCTGTTTCTGCTCTGCCCTTCCCCTCGTCGCCTCATTAAGTGCATATCTTTCTCAACATCCACAATCTCCCCTCCGCAGTTACGCGGTCTTCCTTTTCCAAGTCCTTGACGACGACCGACATCTACTCCAAAACACGGCCTAAACGCTCTCCGAAACCACCCCTCCACCATCTTTTGGCCCGTTCTCTCCAGCTCCGGAGTTCTAGGCAAGCTTCTTGTCGAGCTCCCACGGTGCGCTGCTGGGCTAGTCGTCCCCGCCTCTTGACACTATCTGTCCCTAGTCTGGCCCCAGCAACAACAACCCAGGTGCATTTCGATCTACGGCAATCTTTAATCCGATCTCCTTCCAATTCGAGTTGCACCATACTCTCCTTACGGCACCCTTCCTTATTCGCCTACACGGCCTAGGCTCAAGACGACATCGCCCACCATGTCGACCAATTTTCGCGACCGTGCTATCGCCGAGGTGCAAAAGGCCATCGCGGCCGACCACAATAAGGAGTACCAAAAGGCCTTTGACCTGTACATGTCCTCGATGGAGCTGTGGGTCAAGGCGCTGAAATGGGAGAAGAACAAGGCCCTCAAGGCCACCATGCAGGAAAAGATGGCCACGTACTTGGACCGTGCCGAGAAGCTCAAGCAGTTCCTGCAAAGCGAAGCCGAGACGGCCAATAATGGCAAACCGATGATGGGTGCCGCCAACGGGACGAGCGGTGGTAAGGCCAAGAGCGCTCCCGAGGATGACGAAAACAAAAAGCTACGCAACGCTCTGTCGGGAGCTATATTGCAGGAGAGGCCCAACGTGCGGTGGGAGGACATTGCCGGCCTCGAGAGCGCAAAGGAGACCCTCAAGGAGGCCGTCGTCTTACCTATCAAGTTCCCTAGCCTGTTCCAAGGAAAGCGACAGGCCTGGAAGGGCATCCTCCTCTATGGCCCGCCTGGGACGGGTAAAAGCTATCTGGCAAAAGCCGTTGCCACTGAGGCCAACAGTACATTTTTTTCCATCAGCAGTTCCGACTTAGTGAGCAAGTGGATGGGTGAGAGTGAAAGGTATGTTTCCTTTCTTGTCCACTATACTCATTACCAAAGCATAGGCGATTTAACATGAAACAGACTCGTCAAGGCCCTTTTCTCCATGGCTCGTGAAAACAAACCGTCGGTCATCTTCATCGATGAAATCGATGCCCTCTGCGGACCGCGAGGAGAGGGTGAGTCGGAGGCTTCCCGGAGAATCAAGACGGAGATACTGGTGCAGATGGATGGTGTCGGAAACGACAGCAAGGGTGTCCTGGTTCTGGGAGCCACCAACATTCCCTGGCAACTGGATGCCGCCATCCGCCGACGATTCCAAAGGCGCGTGCACATTGGTCTACCAGACCCTAACGGCCGCGCAAGGATGTTCAAGCTGGCCATTGGTGACACGGACACGGGGCTTCAAGCCAGCGACTACAGCGTCTTGGCCAACAAGTCGGACGGTTTCTCGGGTAGCGATATCAGCAACGTTGTCCAGACAGCCCTTATGCGACCAGTCCGCAAAATTCTGCAAGCTACACATTTCAAGCCGGTATGTCTCACCTCCCCTCAGGTTTGATCGCCCAGAGTCAGCTCTAACAAGGAATGCCATAACATAGGTCATGAAAGACGGCAAGCGCATGCTCATGCCATGCTCACCTGGAGACCCCGCAGGCATCGAGATGACTTACGACGACGTCAAGTCGGATGAGCTGTTAGCCCCAGACGTGATGCTCAAAGATTTCGAGGTTGCTCTGGAAGACTCGCATCCAACTGTGTCCAAGGACGATATTGGCAAGCAAATCGAATGGACCAATGAGTTTGGTAGCGAAGGAGCTTAAAGTGTGTGACGATGATGAAAGATGGGATGTGATGATCTAAGACATGTACGGCGCGACAGAAAAGAGTTTTGGAGGGACAGCACATGGCATTGCGGCGCATTCAGGAGTCCTGTTCTGTTACAAACATTTCCAACCTTTTTTTATTTCCTTGGGCTCTTCCACTCTATGATGCACCATATTACTATCGGTCTCCTCTGCATAGCCATACAGAGGAGACGATACTACACTTTTAGAAACGGAAAACCCGAACTTCAATATTCAGGAGGTGTATCGCCTTGGTGAATGCCCCTTCTGGCATAAACTCGATAAAACGGTACATAGGGCCTTTCATAATGCCAAAAAATGGCAAAACTTGTGATGTTTACGTGTAGCATGGATGATGATGTCGAAGGCGGTATGAAACGGCAGAATCTCGAAATCTTTAGAAGCATTATAGGGTGAAAAAGAAGCGAGCAGATGCTGCAACTGGACCAAACACCCAAAGCCCACCACGACAAACGTTGATGCTGGGTCCTACGAGGCATGCGCCAGTGCGCAAACCGCCCTCCTGGCCACTTCGTCGACTAGGATGGAGCGGCATGGGGGTGCGGACCAAGAAGACGAGCGCAGCGGCCGACTCGCTGACACGGCAAGAGTGGCCCATGGCGGAGAAGCTTCACAAAGCCAAGCTATGGTCGCCCAACAAGCGCACAACTCGAGCGCTGGGGAAAGCACCATCCCTGGGACCAGTCGAGTCGCGGAGGGTGAATGTCGTCAGTGATGAGCTCTGTGGTAAGGACCTCTCCCCTGGCTGCTACTTGGCACCATCACCACACACGAGACTGACGAGAAGCTACAGATGATATTATACAGAGGCTAAGGCCATCGTTAGAACGACATCGAGGATGCGACCTATTCGACATCAACCCTGGGGCTAGCCTTTGGAGCCGCGCCCTGCACGATGCGGTACAGCCCCGACGACACATTATGATGGACCCAAGCGCACGGGACTACGAGGCTCTACGCAAGGAGGTCATGGGCGATCGACCCAACATTGAGGTTATCGGCGAATCGGGAATCATATGGCCGGAGCTGAACAAGGTGCTCTCATCGCACCTGGACCCTCACCACGAGCGGGTGGGCAATGCAGACAAGGACAAGGAGCCGTCGCAGCCGCAGCGTAACGACATGCTTCTGGTGACGGCCAACCTGGCTATGTTCCCCAAGAAGAGTCTGTGGAACTTTGATAACGTGGCGACCATGGTCCTGTACCAGCTCATGTCGAGCATCCCCACGTCGACATTGTTCCAGCGCTACGGCAGCGTGCGCATGCTCATCTGGATCAACGACGACATCAAGCGGCGGGTTCTCCCGCGGTCCATTGTGGGCCGTAAGCGGTCCGCGTTTGAGGCGGAGCTGGCGTGCGAGTGGATACATGAGGTGGCAGGGAGTGATGTGCCCGACGCGTCGACAGAGCGGCTTTCCCTACGTGATGAATGGCTCCACGTCGAGTCTGCGGCACGCGTGCTACAGCGCATGGAGAAGCAAGGAATCACCACCCCAGCGGGCCGGGAGACGCGCATGCTCCAGACTGTAATGGCCGACGCTGACCTCCGCTCTCAGCCCCTGTCGGGTCACCGGCCACCTAAACTCCTGCGGCCATTCCGTACCGAGTTGGCCAACATGGAGTCCGGCGACGACGACACGGCGCGCAACGCCCGTGACGTCAAGCGCCTCAAGGCCCTGCAGTACCGTGACCGCCACACATCTAAAGAGGCAGAAAACTACCTGGAGCTTATTCAGCTTCACGGCCGACTACTGCACATGGATGCCTCGACGGCTGAGTTTCAGCTCGCGTCTGCCGAGTTCGACGGCCGCCTCGAAGGGATGCGCAAGAACCAGCGCAACGAGTTTCTCCTCTTCCGGGACAACCACCACATCTTCCGCCACCACGGCCCTCGGCCAGCCCTCCTATGGGACCGCCGTGATTACGAGCCGTTGGCCATCGACACGACGGACCTGTACCCCAATGCGCCGACTTGTCTCCTCGACATCCAGCCCAAGTCCATGGACCCTGTCCTGCGCCAGTACGGTCCCTCGTCGTCTCGCTCAGGGGACTACGCCAGCCTCATCCTCCGCTCCTTGTTCAACAGCACCACCCATCCCATCCACACGCGCGCCATGGACTCTGTCTGGCCGGGATTCTCTGATATGGCGCGCGAGCACTGTCCCAGCCTGTGGGCTCCCAATTTCGGCGGCTCCCCGATGAATGGTTACGGCTCTCTGCCCGTGAGGTGTATCAGCGAGACGCACTGGGTCGAACTGATGAGGGCTTGGATGCGCTGGCCTTTTCGTCCCAGCTATCATCATATGCTCGGTCGCTCTCTCGAGCACGACGAGGACGACGATGGTAGTGGCGGTGCCGGTGGCGGCGATGTCCGTGGTTCGGCCTCTGGCAGTGCTAGTAGCTAGAGCTTTTTGCTTTGTATATTTGTATATTTGTATTAGAAACTTGTATATTGGTATCAGGGCTTGTATCATTAGATTCATAGACATACACATCACACTAATCCTACTATCCCACTTCGATTATACCTGCCGGGGGCCTTTCTCGCTATGCTTGACCAATGTAGTTATAATGATCTTTTTAAAACGTACCGCGCATTGCTACGTTGTATATACACGGGACTTCTATCAGCAGGTCTGTAGACGTGACCCGTTGTTTATGCGATCACATCGTGATTATGCCCCAGACGGTCCCGCCGGGGGCCCTACTCGCTGTGTTTAGCTAGTATGATAGTAGAGCATTGTTCTGAATTGTATCGTGGCCTGGCCATATCGTATGTAATGGTATAGTACATATACATCTCCTCCGTCATAAAGAGAAAAACAAATAAGGAAAAACACCACCTAGAAGCACGCAAACAAATAATACATCCGTCCTTTTGTATCAATCATCAACCTGCTTCCCCTGTATAAAAAAAAAAAAAACAATAAAACGCCGACTACTAACCCTTTAGCCCTATCCGAGTATCAAACCCGCCAAGAGAAGAGAATAAGTGATAAGAACAAAAAAAGAAGATAAAGGGGTCTGAATAAACACCGCTCCTCGGAGTATGCTGGGTTAAAACATGAAATCGGGAAATGAAGGGCGAACAAGAAGCAAGAAGTCCAACAGAGGGTGAGTGGAAGATAAAAGAAAGCATAGGAAAGAATCACCACTACAATGACCAATCCTTTTCCAAAGACGGATCACGTAGAATATCCTCGACCCAGCCGAGGATTTCCCTATCGTCATCGAGCAGACGAGCATACTCGAGGAGCAGACGCAGCGTGTAAATCTGCATGTCTTCCTTCCTGAGCACCTTTTCTGCCCAGTCTTTTCCATCCTGGGCAATCTGCTTTGCCACAGAGTCATGGCCACCTTTGCCGTTGAAGCCCAGGAAGTAGTCCATAAGGCCGTAGTAGTCCCCATACCGGTTGTCCATGGGGACAAAGTGCTTCCAGGCGAGTAAACGGCTATCGTGCCACTCACGGAATAGGGTGGACTTGATGGGCAGCGAGGTAGAGCGGAGGAATCCCAGGTATCGTCCCGAGAAGCTGTTGCCATCCAGGTCAGGGAGGTATTTGCTGTTGAACTGGTCGACCATGCGTAGACCAGGAACGATGTCGAAGTGCGGGCTGGTGTACGAGCACACGCCATCCTCTTCGGGCGGCTCGCAGTTGAGATCGATGAATCCTACATTGGCCCACTCATCGACCCATTCGGCCAGCTGGTCGGCTTCCTGTGCGGTAATGTTATACTGGAAGGCATCGTCCTTGTCACCAGGAAGCGAGAAGTTCTCGGGTTCGTGGTCACCCATCTCGGCGCGCAGGATCTCGGTGGCGTTGTTCATCGAGACGAAGCGGTGGCGCTGAAAGCCGCGCCAGTTGGATTCGCGGTTCCTGCCACCCGTCGCCACGCCACGCCAGACGACGTGGTCGGCCTTGTTGCCCCAGGAAACCCCGTGGTCGTCGCCGCCGGTGAAGCGCTCCTCCTCGTTCCAGTACATTGGCGCAGGAAGCAGGATCTCGTTGTTGACGTGCAGCTTGGAACCTCCAAACAAGGGAAACAGCGTCGTGGTCGTCGACGTTGACAGTGGCTCGATTAGGATGCCCTGCAGTCCCTGGAGGTCGGGCTGGTGGCACAGCTCGGTGGACATGGTATAGTTGGACACAAAGCCCTCGTACATGTGGGGCTTAGCGTTGGCCATGGAGATATTGGGCGGGTCGGCAAAGGATTCTTGAAGGGGGGTGGTTCGCGCGAGGCTGTCGGGGGGGCATCCGCGACGGACATGAGCCCAGTAAGGGTCTGGGAGGAGTTAGTATATATGGACGACAAGACGGGTAGTTGGACAGTTGTATGTGGAAACATGCAGAGAGGTGTGCTTACTCGTCTCCTCAAAGACCTTCTTCCTGGTGGCGGTACTGAAGTCGCCGTAAGCGGGGTCAGGCAGCGTCTGGAACTCTGAGCGGACCTTGGTTGCCTTGGGCAACTTAACCGTCTTCTTGGCCTTGATCATGTACTTTTCCATATCCTCCCAGGGTGTGACTATGCGCGGCTCGTCCATGGGGTTGAGGGCGATGTCCATGTCGGGGAGCAGGTGCTGGATCGAGTCAATGAGATCAAGCCAGATGACAGTCCAAAACCAGTCGCTCGAGGTGACAGCCTTGCCCTCGCGGATGTGGATGGTCATCTCAAAGTCCCACGACTCCTTGCGCAGGGTGGCCGGAGGCAAACCCCAGAAGGGTTCGAGATCGTGGTAGATCTGGTCGAAGAAATCCTCGACGATGACGGAGTGCCGGCTCTGGGCGTAGTGGAACCACTTGTCGAAGCCAGGGGGGGGGTGGCGACCGCGGCGCTTGCGGTAGGCCTGGGCGGCATCGTTGATGTTATCAGTCTCCTTGGACATCAGCTCAGCAAAGACGTGCTGGGCATCGTAGACTAGTCGGTCGATGGGGTGGGCATCTTCAGGGCCGGGGGGAGGGGTCTTTTTGGAGTCGAAGCCGGAAGAGGCCTCCTCCTCCTCCTCCTTCTCTTCCATCTCGTCTGAGAAATGGGGTCTCTGTAGAGAAGAGGGCCGCAGAGCGGAGAGGTCTTGCGGCTTCTCGATTGCCGGCGGTTCGACGTTGGGCGGGACGACATAAGGCGAGTCTGACTGTCCCTTGCTAGTATCAAGTTCGGGGTCGTGAGCAGCGGGGGGAGGAGGGGGAGGAGGTAGCTGTTCGTCTTCAGAGGAGTCGATGTCGTCGCCGAGAAAGATGTCGGACTGAGGGCCCGGCTTCGAAGAGTCGAGGATCGGAGCTGGATCAGCGTCGGGGGGTTGCGATTGGGGGGGAGGAGGCACAGGCTGTAAGGGGTCGAGAGCGACACGCGACGGGTCGGAGAAGGAGCGATGCAAGTAGATGAGAGTGAGGAAGGCGAAGGCGAGGAGGAGGTAGCGAGCGGGCCGGCGCGGCGGGAAGGCCGGGGTAAATATCTTGGTCATGTCGACTGTTGGTGGGGTGCGCACAAGGGCGCGTGAGTGATACGAGGGAATGCCTAGAGAGAGGTGTCGAAAAGAATTGGGGGGGGGGGCGACGTGTCTAGATGCCAGAGAAGCCTAGACTTGGTCGAATCCCCAGACCGAGTCTAGATGATTGTTGATTGTCGGAGAAAAAAAAAGAAGTAACCGGACAGAGATTTCGTGAATATGCGCCGGCCTTGGTGCAGGGGCGGCGGATTGGCTGAGGGGAGAGAATAGAGAGAGAGAGCGTGTGTTGTGAGACGATGAGCGAGGCTTGGCCTTCGGCTCTCAAGCCAGGGGTTCGATCTGAGTGCGTCGACAGCTAAGACGTAATGATTGCGCGCACCGGGGCAAAGAGTGGAGGACCACGTGAGAAATAATAGTATATGTCGTAAAGGAAAGAGAGAGGGCAAACACAAAAGAAGCCGCAAACGCTATTACAAGGCCAGCTAGCCGAAGTAAGTGAAGATAAGGCCAGTGCACACAAGCCGTTTCTTCTTTGCCAAGGAATGAATGAAGGAAGTCTGAAGTATGAAGGACTCTTGAAGGAGTTATTAATATGGGTAATAGCAGGAGATGAAGAGATTACAAGTACGCCTATGATACATGTACATGTAGCACTGGTGCAACGCCCCACCTACCTTCTCAATCCGTGCTTGTACTATAGGAGCCTAGGAGGTTGCATCTCAACGCACACTTCACCTCAACGCACACGTTTTGCAATAACAATAACCCCCCCCCCCCCCCC